TAAAAAGGAAAAGAACTATCTGAAAATAATTGTAGACATTACTACGGTCAAGATGACACCGACAAATAATGTAATTTCGGTGGAATGTCGATTGGAACATCTTTTTACTTATCTTGTATACACTGTGGTATTCGTTTCAATTTGTTCTTTTCTATTTACAGAAATATTTTTTCGAAACAGACTACAATATAAATAACAAAAATAATTACTGTTACGATACTGAAAATTATAATTATGCAAATCCAATTAAAGTAATCAGAATTAACAAATGTTAATTTATCCTTTCTATTGTGCCAAATAATATAAGTACCTCCACAGAATATTAAACATAATTTTTCTTTAATTTACTCAAAGACCATTTCATCTAATTAATTTTATCCCGTTTTAACACGAACCCTTTCAAAGTGAACGAAATGTCAGACGCTATTTCAGAACCGAATAACTAGAAGCGATAGATGGAAACTGTTCGAAGAATGAATTATTTGAACGTCTTCCAATCATCGTCGAGAACTGTCAATCGTTTGGTGCCCGTATGAACGTTCCGTGCAGTTGTCTTCACTCTTCAGAGTCGCAGCATGCATCAGAGGTAAGGATCGTTATCGTAAATTGGATCGCATTCCAGAATTCTTGAAACGGTCGTAAAACGTTCAAGCACGTTTATAGCTATGTGTAGATCAACGATCGAACGTGAAAGACGTCTGTCGAAGAAAAGTAATCGCGTAAAAATGAATAATTGAAATCTTTAAATAAACTTCATTTTCATATACAAGCGGGAAGGTATCACGAATTGCAGGGTGAGTCATTCGATAATTGCAGCTCTGTAATTTGTACTCGCCTAAGGTATCGGTGAAAAGCCTTCGGCGACTTTAATGAGCTAATTAACGATACCTGGCGATCTCACGAAGGTCATTGGGGTATAATCGTGCAGGAACATCCTGCGAGAACTCGTGTCTAGGTCGCGGTTACTATCTATAGAAAGACTTTCGCTTAGAAATCTAACGACGATATCGAGGTAACTACGTGAGAGTAACATCGAAATGGAAAACGTGTAAAAGTTATACTGAAGGTTTCCGATTGGACTTAATTAATGACTTACCATGGAAAACCAGTCGAGGTAGAAGGAGAATCTTACGTTCCTTCTAATATCGAGCACGGTATGTTTTAAGGTGTAAATAGAAATTGTACAAGACTGAGAAAAATAAATATTTCAATTAGTTTATTAATTTCTATGATGCTCTATATAACACTTTCAATTAAAAATAAATTGACGAGGGTCCTTCGGTATAAATGATACCCTTCTGAAGCGAATCTAGAAATGTAAATCTCGTGACGAGAAAATCTTCTTGAATCCGAAGAATGATCGCGTAATTAAAAGTAAGATCTCCGCGACACGTTCCACTTTCATTCGTAGCCGGCTGAAAATTCTGCCTTTCGTTGAACATCATTTTTTTTTGATAGCAACATTAACGAGCTGGTGACCCAAATATTCCTCGAAACGAGCGCGTTTCACTTTGCTTTCCAATTTTTATTTACTAAGCTTGTAAAGCGTTAGCAATTATCTATTTCATTTGTGAACGTTTAGTAATGTATTAGCAAGCTGTTACAGTAGAAATTGCTAGGTATAATGCGGTGTACTTTAAGAATAATTATTAGCATGTGCTAATAATAAGCAGTCAATGTTGACTGCTAGAGTTATTAAAAGATTTCGTTTTATCATATGTATTAAATTTCAAGACGTTTCTTTCCTTCTTTTTGAAGGAAATAGATTACTTCTTTTCGTAGTCGCGGGACCTGTAACACCATCCACGCTGAAGCAATAACCATTCTCAGTGACTACAGATACCAAGAAGACTGGACATGCCTTTGTTCACGAGGGGTCATGATTTTGGAGTCTCAGACACCACCAGGGACAGCCTGCATGTACAGAAAACAGTCCCTCTTTTACTGCACCTCGCACAGACTACTGAAAAGGTATAGTTTTGACTCCCTTTGACTCTAATTGTTGTAAATCAATTAAAATTAGTACAAGACCGAAACATTATTAAAATAATTGTTTGACAAACTTGTATCCATTTTATGCACCTTGGGAAATAGATCATTTTAAAAAAGCAACTGTATTATTATTTAATTCAACCAATTTTCTTTCCATGTTATTTATTTAACTTACACAATTTTCGATCTTTTATTAAATGCACGAAATTTCTTTCCTCAGTTATTTATTTAATTGACTTAAATTCTTCTCTTATTTCATTTATTCAATGTACTTATCTTCTTTCCTCACATATTTATATATACAACATTTAATAACTCTTTGATCCTTAATAAAATATAAACATAGTATACATGGAAATCAAAATTAAAACACAGTAATTACTTCTCAATACGAAAAATTTCACTCAGAACGAGGTACGATCTCCTCAGTCTTATACCGGCAGCCGAGGGATGCGGATCAACTTGTCAAATATACATATACCTCTAATTTCCTTTCGGGGTTAATTTAATTTACTTTATTTATTTCCCTTTTCTTTCACTTTTTCCAGTTATTTATTACTTCATCCCGTTTTATAGACCAAAGTCCACCCTTTTCAGTTACTAATTACTTTATCATTCTTTTCACGCCAAGACCCACGCTTCCTAATAATTTAATACCTTCTTTATGGACCAAGAACCCTTCGCAATTATTTATTTCTTCATTCTTTTCGTTCGTCATTCATACTTTTCGTTCTTCATTCATTCTTTTCGAGACTTCGCGGGAATTACCCCTAAATCAAGGTATCCCTGTATTCCTTATAACACTGCATCCCTTACATCACAGCGTCCCTTACATCTCCGTATTCCTTACATCCCTGCATCCGTAATATTTCTGCATTTCTTATATCCCTGCATTCCTTATACTCCCACAACCCTTACGTTTCAGCATCCCTGACATCTATGCATCCCTTACATCTCCGTATTCCTTACATTCCCCGCATGCCTAACATCTTTGAATCCCTTACATCGTTCCTTTTTGTACCGCCAGGGGGCGCTGTTTCGACGTGAAGAATTTAGTTCACATTTTTGCCGCTAGAGGGCCAAAATCTTTGCAAGCTTTAGTTCCTTTTTTTGCCCCCAGAGGGCGCTGATTCGACATCGAAAATTTAGTTCATATTTTTGCCGCTAGAGGGCCAAAATCTTTGCATGCTTTAGTTCCTTTTTTTGCCCCCCAGAGGGCGCTGATTCGACATCGAAAATTTAATTCACATTTTTGCCGCTAGAGGGCCAAAACCTTTGCAAGCTTTAGTTCCTTTTTTTGCCCCTAGAGGGCGCTGATTCGACATCGAAAATTTAGTTCGCATTTTTGCCGCTAGAGGGCCAAAATCTTTGCATGCTTTAGTTCCTTTTTTTGCCCCCAGAGGGCGCTGATTCGACATCGAAAATTTAGTTCACATTTTTGCCGCTAAAGGGCGCAATGCGGCGATGGTGGGATGTGGAGATACAAAGAATATTGCGATGTAAGGCGTGCAGACATCTAAGGAATGCAGGAATGTAAGAGATGAGGGAATGTAAGGGATGAGGGAATGTAAGGAATGAGGGGATGTAAGGGATGAGGGGATGTAAGGGATGCCGAGATGTAAAGAAGCAGGGATGCAAGGAATACAAGGGTGTAAGTAATGCGGGCTTGTAAGTGATACAGAGATGTAAGGGGTGCGGAGATGTAAAGGATGCAGTGATACGAGTGGTTTTGGGGTGGTTGCAGCGAGTCCCTTAAAGAGAATAAAATGATAAAGGACTTGGGAGGGTGGTTCCTACAACGCCCTCAAATATAGGTAAAATTGTAAATAAAAGGATAGTGAGGCATCACAGGAGGAATAAAATCATCACGTTCAACTCCCTAATGCGTTTATTCAATAAGTTAAAAAGATAAATACAGCAAATTAAATAAACGCACAAAATAAAATAAGGATATATGTATGTTTAACAAGTAGATCTGCACACCTTGGCGGTCGGTATAAGCTTGATGCTTAAAGGCGCCCGGAGCCTCCACTTCTGACGCCTACAGCCCTGACGGCCCTGCCGGTTTTGGTGGTGAAGCCGTCATGTTTAATGTTGGGGGAAGGATTGGATCAACCTCCCCTTGCTGCTCCTCTTATTGCTGTAATATGGTAAGACTAAGCTCGAGACACTGACTGTCTGATGGGACATAGTCTTTGATATCGAAGTAATCTGCTATTACAATCAACGTGTGTTAGGCTGTTGCAGTGGGAAATATTTCACATTTTTATACTAGGATACAGCTTCGTTCTCGATCTGTAATCACTGCCGTTCTCTTTATCGGAGTAACTGATCCGCCGATCGTTTCGCGATCGATTCATCGACTATTCGTTTCTATCTCCACGACTCGCTTAAATATCCGAGTAGCTGCCCCACGACACAGGAATATTGTTAAGCCATTCGAGGGAACACCTTACGGTGCCTCCTTGCGATCTTTATGCGGGGCGACCCTTTTGGAATGCAGATTCCCTTAGCTAGACAATAGAATCGGCGCCCCTAGCCTCGTATCCCGCGACACTTTACGTGTGACCACGACGATTCTACGAATGGAAGGTTATTGGGTAAAATTAAGGAATCGAAGGAAGGTCTTTTAGAATTAAGAGCAACGAAGGACAATTGTATTAGTCAATTTATTAATTATCAAGAGTTGATTATAAAATACGCAAGAAAAAAGGGACGCAATAAAGTAGAACAATGAGGAGGGAAAAGAAGAAATGGAACGGAGGATACGTCAGGTGCTGTCTCATCAAGGGTGACACGATCGGCCACCATTCTGTCGCGATTTGCTCCTCGCGAGCAGAGATGTGCTCGAGGAAAAAGGAGGAGGTCGAGTGGCCGACTTCTTCCTCCTCTCGAACGCGACACGCTTATCCGCCGTCCGTTTATCTCGGTCACGGGCTGTACGAAGGGGGAACACGCAGGACGAACCATGCTCGTTCCTACATTTTATCCCCACGTGAGAGCTCGGTTCTTCGTCTTCTTCGGCGTCTCCTTCCACTTGATGAAGACGAGGTCCGTACGCACTACTCGACGGCTCGAACAACAAGTCGGTCTACGCCTCCACCAGCGCGGAAGTCATCGAACCGAACAACGTGGAAATTTGTCTTAGCTTTGTTTTTCAATAAAAAATTGACGATTTAAGAAAATTGTTTTTATTTGAAAATTTTGACAAAAGTGTAACGAAGGATCGATGAACATTCGGTGATTTGCAATTTATTTTCTGGAGAAATGAAGAATTAATAAGTTTGTGGAAGATTAATGTATTAATTAATTAGTGGTGACAGTGATTGTGATTTTGTGAAAGGAAAATAAGGAAGAAGTTGATGAGAGATTACACGAGGAAGTAACAATGGCGCGAGGGTTACTTCTCATTACAGTGGTAAGAAATTAAAGTTGCATTGTTAGAATATTATTTATAATTTAATGTGTCTCCTGTTTCATCGAAATCCTTCTTTTCGAAACTTCTTTCACTCTTAATCTACGAGCCAGAGGAATCTACTTTCACCGATTTTTTAAGAATCGATTAAAACGGTACATCTCGTGTATTCATAATCACGAGAAACTTTCGTAAATGTGATTCGATCCATCGGGACTTAATTATAGGCATCAAGAAAATGAATCTATGAAGTCGTTAAACCATGTGTGTTTCATGTTTATGATCATTTTTTTGGAAGCATGCAGAAATAACATTCCCTGTTATTAATATATTATTAATTACACTTAGAATCTTTATTTTCTTCTTTTACAATCAATTCATTAAATTACATTCGTACTATTAGTTAATAGAAAATATAAAAAGTTACATGTAATGAAAAATAAAATTAATACAAATTCATTGAAATTATAACTTTTATTAATCACAAGATACCTTGGAATATAAAGGAAAATTAAGAGAAAAATTCCACTGGAATCGATGTCTTGGTCAGAAAAAGGTGACCGACTGCTCTGGTCGTAACATCTGTTACCTCTTCTCGGATAAAGTGGAACAACCTTTACATGGCCTTGATCCAGTAACCTGCCGGAACCAGGAAAAGTAAATAGATTCTCCTTAATTGCCGTAGAATGGCAAGTTCCCTCTCGCGTGATAATAGTGAAAGATTTATTAACGATATCAACACGATCCTTGTTCGAACCTATAATTTCAATCCATAATATCGCAACTATCGTTGCGTTATCTTTATCGAGATCGTCTGTTGATCATCGATTAATTTGCCTATTCTTTTCCACTTTAGAAAGCTTCTGGGAAAATTGATTTTGATAAGTATGCTATCGTTGGCACGATTTCTGTGAAATTGCAATATAACGCAATTTATGCATTAGTCATTTCACCTGTTATCTCATAATCATTGTATTATCTCCTTTTCTCGTTAAACGATTCAAACGATCTGGCAATTAGCTTGTAAATCGTTTCAATAATTTGGAATTGAAGTTTTGGACCTGAAAATGAATAATTAAATTAGTTCAAACAATGTAGACGCATTTATTGAAATTAGGTTCATTTGTCAAAAATATTTAACACTGAACGAGTTACAATAATATATTTCAAAGATTAGCTACATTGCATGATTTACGTAAGATACGTCTTCTCTGTCGGAGGTCGTTGGATGAAAGTTATAATTTTGTTTTAAATTTCACTGGAGATTCGAGCCGATACGCCAGCTTGAAGTCGACGGTCCGGTATGACTTATAATTTACCGCAAGCATTTATCTTCTTAGTTCGATAAGCTTGGTGAAAGTCCCCATTGATAATCTAGTGTGCAACGGAGTTTCATTTCACGGGAATACAATAAAAAAAAAATAGTTCGTAAAATGAAAATATTTCAAAGAACGAAAGTTCTTTCTTATCCTTGTATTTTTTCATTCAAACCAAGTGTATTACCATTTCAATGGCAGTCGGTCAACCGAAACTTCCTTTTCAAAGTTCATGATCCATTGTACGGTTCACAGGAAACAATACAGAGATGCGTTTGAAGATTTTTGGTTGACTGCTTTTAAATAGAATTTATCAGCATTCTGGAAGCTGAGGAGGATCGTGATTGTGCAATCATTGTATTTTACACTAATGCCGGCAAAAGGAAAGGAAACGTCGCGATTGTTTCAAACAATTAATCATAAAAAGCAGCAAGTACTTACAAAATATCCTGAAAATCGTACGGTATTGGCCAAGAAGCGATGACGAGCCGCGATATGAAAGAAAAAGATCACTCAGTGAAATCGTAGCTCTCCTCCTTCTGTTGAGCATCATGGTTACTGGGTCAGCGCTGATTGCAAACAGAGGAGGATATGTTGGAATTTTCACGTTTTATGGTTATTTCACGTGACAGATAACGTGTTAAGGTTTTTAACGAGCATGTTACATCGGCCACATCCTGTGACAATCCTTGCATTTGTGGTCTAGTATTTCAAGTACAAAGCTATTCGCAAACGTGTTTCAGAAGGAAGGAACGTTTCTTAGGAGCAGGAAATCATAATGAGATATTGTGTACGATTGGTAATAACGTGAAAGAAACAAGTTGGACTAGGTGTAAGCACGAGTGAAATTGATTTGATTTATTAACAAGAAGATAACGTTGCGAGTGGTAGTAAGTTGAGACAGATTGGAAGTAATAGTTACGCCCCGAGCGACACTCTGATTGACATCAGATTGGATATGTCACTGAGCACCCTGAAGCATTTTTTTTTTTATATTAAGACCACCCAGAAGAAACGTGATTTTATTCAAGTTATTTTAACAAGATGAAGTGATAAAACTCTGTCACAATTAGAGTGTGTTGAACTCAACCAGTAGAATTACACTGAAACTAGTCAGACTGGTGGAATGAGACATCACGAATTTGCACAGTAGAATTATCCTAAGTATAGTCAGACCACGTTTTCGATAACGATGTATTCGAATTGTGATTGAAATGAAAAATAGTGAAAACCTTCTGCGTCAATATCGTGAGAGAATTTCATGTTTTAGAAAGTACCCTTGTCTTCGAGTTGCTGGTATCAGCGTGAAAGTCAAATTCAAGGGGGAGAAACTAGCCGAGTCTGATGAATGAACCTTCAGCGTTAATTAATCGACGTGACAACAATTCAGTCGTTTAGTCATCGATTTCAGAAATGAAGAAAAAAAAAACGTGGACATAAACGATAGCTCGAATCGTAGCGTTTGAACGTTTCGTACAGCGCGACTTTCTCCGATGCGTGTATCTTTTCCTCTGCTCATTTTCTTCTCCGTGTCGTCGAGAAGAAAATCATACGATTTCACTCGTCTGATACGGGCTGCAGTCCAATCTCTTGGCAAAGTGTTTTTACGAGCATTTGACGAGATTGCATGCCGTCAATTTGCGCGTTACACCGACACTTCCGCTGAAAAAACATAAAGGAAATTATCATAGCTCGTGCTTCGAGCTCGAGATTCCTTCCGCGATAGCTGATCCAACGAGAAGCTCGACTATATACCGTTTCCTCGCGATCAATTCCCGCAGACATAATAGGAGAATTGTGCTATTGTGTGTTTCGGGAAATTCCGTCGCGTTATTCAAGACATTACGATTATGAGAGGGAAAGGATCTGTTTCGAATTAATGATAGTTCAGGAACGATAAGAGGTTGTTCCCGTATACTGTTAAAAAATAGTTGAGGACAAGTTCCATTAATAACTGCTGCAATAAAAATGGCACTCTAATATAATATTCAACGACAAACGTAACTCCCATCATGAGTGAGCCCTACAACACTTAACATTTTTCTTCTTCTCCTATACATGTTATAAATTTTACATTCTTTGTGAAGAAAAGAGTTAATCGCGTGTATGATGTGAAAGCAAGTTTACAGGCGGTTTTAATTGCATCATGATATATTAAGGTTCTCTTGTTGTGTTATAATATCGGGTTAGGGAAAGATTATTAATGAGACTGGTTAATTTAACTGCTCGATAAAACGGCAGTTGATATTCCTGTTTAGAATATTAATAGGAAAATTATTTTGCAAACTTCGTTTTATCGTCTCAATTAATATTCATGTATAATTTGGTGTAGATACAAAGTCATTGACGTGTCTGAGTAATGTTAATAAAAGTTATTTGATTGTTTTAAGTTTGTGAATTATGAATCGTTATGCAACTAATTGCACTTTATTGTTAATATCTAAGCAAATTACAATATGATTTGGAAAATCAATTATTCGAGTTATTTGATGGTTTTAAGTTTGTGCATTATGAATCGTTATGCAACTTAATTGCACTTTATTGTTAATAAGCAAATTACAATATGATTTGGAAAATTATCATTTCTGTACAATTGCAATAGGAAAAAACATTCGAAGGTTAAGATATTGATTTCTGGAATGAAAATAACCATACGTTATAAATTCTTAGTATTTTAAAGAAAGTGGTCGATATTAAAAAATCCTGAAAAATTAATTTATCGACCAAGGAAATATCTCTGACTCATTCACTTACGTGTAATTTAAATTGGAGCAGATTCGAAAAGCTGTGCTATAGAAAGCAATCGATGACTCGCAAATCGACAGTGATTAATCGATCACGAAGTTCCGTCTGACATAAGTTAACTCGAACAAGCACCAGAAGCGATATCGCCGATACAAAATAACATTTTCAGTGATAATTGATAAGCTCACGGGAATGATCGTTGTTCGTTTCACTCTTTAGGCGGTCGTGCTACTATCCTCGATTAATGTCTGCGCCGAAGAGGATCTTAAAGACGACGGAGACCTCAACGACCGTAAAGAAAACAACGGGACAACAGTTACGTCCATCAAGATCACCGGGGAAGGATCCAAGAACAGGACGGACAAAACACGAGAGACGGTGAGGGAAAGAAATTTCTATTTGCATAAATAACGTCCAGCTGTCGTGTTTGCTGAATTAACCACGGCTAATTTAACAGACTAAACTTGTTGTTATCGTGTTGGCATTGATATACAGATCAGATATTAGGAGACCAAGAGATTTCCACTGTGATAACGCGCTAATTAGCAACGTCTTAATAATGCTTTAAATAATTTTTAGCAATTAGAGAGGCTTCGTTCTCTATTCGCCAGTCGACAGAACAGCAGCAGAGATCTTACGATGCCGAAAAGCTCAGACATTGCTAAAGTCATATCCGATGATGTTACCGGTGACGAAGAGACTCCTGAAGAACTGCCAGAGGTAATCGAAACATTTAAATATCAAATAAAATTGAAATGAAATACTAATGTCTATCGATAGACATTCGAAACCTTAGTTGGCAAGAAAGTAAAAACCTACGAATTTCTTTCTGCATCAGGAAATCCAGATCTTATTGATCCACGATTTCAGAACCAATATTGTTACAGTACACCGTGACGAAAGATTAACAACGTTCATTTATCTTCCGACAAGAAAGATCTTTAGAAAGTCGCGTTTAAGACTTCTTTTAGTCGCAAATCATAGCAAAATTATATACACTTGTCATATATGAATACTATGCTCCATACTTATTTCTACTTAGGGATTCGTAGCTTTCTGTTTAGTATACCATGGATCTGAAGTCACTGGAAGTCAGTGATTCATTCAATTTCACCAGGATGTTTTTACCCGCAGGTGGAATTTTCGTTTATACGATTTTTTCATAGGCGTAGAAATTTGAGTCACGACGATGTTTTCTCGATTTGTTATCCTCCGTGATCTAGGAATTTCCAGGGGGACACTTTCGTTCGCGGAGACAGCGATTATTTTCTTCGACGGTTACTTTCACGTCGTTACGATCGACGTTCATATTTATTGTGTTACTCGTCGAAATTCCCAGATGATCTCGGAGAATGGAGGTGCATAGATATTCGAAATGATGTTGCGAGAGAGAGAGACTGAATTCGGGACATTAATTAACGTACGCCACAACACGGGTCAAAACGTTACGCAGACTTCTCTGGGTATACATTGTTGCGATTAAGATTATTAGATAGAAGCGGTGGAAATTGAAATTCAAGTATAATTAATGCAACAGGAAAGATAAATTTTCTGAGATGATCAGTGTGCTTATTTATGCATTATGAAACAATGAAACCATCATGGCGGTGTGAAATTTAATTCAAAAGAATTAAAAGGTGTCTGAGACTTTAAAGTGTTGCAGAGTTGTTCAACATTTATTTATCCATTGTTACAGCCACAAGAACTGAAAATCATAAGACCTAATTTGAGGAAACGACCTGTTTTTCGACCATCGCCTTCGAGAAGACCGTTACCACCGAATCGAAGACACGTTTATGGAGGTTGATAACAATTCTGAGTGTTAATAAAAATACAATTTAAAGTAATAAAAAATTATCATTTTGCGTAATGAATTTCCTATAGATCTGTCCAGAACACCATTGACGAGACCACCAAGGCGACCTGCGGAAGTGAAGAGGGATCCAACCGAGAAAGAGTGCACTTTCTTTACGAAGACAGTTTGCCTGGAAGCAGCCGATTATCCTCAGTAAGTATCTCGCCAACTTCTTCACTTTTTTTTTTCAATTGTTTCCATTCAGGGTTGCAACCATTACACAACGCATTTCAATGCGCTTTCTCCGTCGGACAGCTAATTTAAGGGGTTCGCGATAATTGGAAGAATGTGTGATGGCAATTTTACAATGGAAACGATGTAATTCGTGGTCTCGTTAAAATGGAAGAAAGTCTGTTCGCTTTCGTGTTATTCTACACGTTTCTATGCCCGTTGCGTAATAATACCATTTTTCTCATAATCGTTCTTACATTTTAATTAGGAATTACAGGCGGAAGTTGTAGAAACACCGGCGAAAGCACGGACTTTCGTTTCCTTTTCTCTTTCGTGACAAATCGTGGGATATAATAAAGAGACTAGAAAGATGCTATTAACCCTTGGACGAAGAAAAGCAAGATATTCACACGAATCGAATATGACCCAGTATCTACCGTCCAAGGGTTAACTGAATTAATTATTCTTGTTAAGGAAAACAAAATTATTAAAATGAGATTGCACTGGATTTGCCGATTTTAATTAAATAAAATTTGTTTAGCGAAGCTATCAGCAGAAGTTTGAGGAGTAACAAAGAGATGGTAGCTTCTTTGTTGACTGATTACAAATCACAGGACTTCGATGAATCTGGGGAAAATTTTCCTATTGCATTACCGCTTGAAAATAAGTTCGAGAATAAATATGATGGTCGGTACGAGAATCGATACGAGAGCAACGAGATTAGAAGGTGAGAATATGACTAATAAATAATGTTCATCTTTTCACTGTGTATTCAAAAATTAAAATCATATTGTATAAAAATTATGAGACATTGAATGTATACCTGGTTGCTGTTGAAGGATGCCCCTGTGGAATGCTAACTCCCAATCAGTGTAACATTAAAATATTTTAACATTTATTCATAAATTAATTTTAGGAGATCTGATATGCCTTCGCCATTCGACAACATCGAAGAAGGCTTCACGTGTCCATCCGTGGTTAAATATGCTCGTCCTCAATTAGCCAGAGCCGCTTCCGGAATCTGGAAATACATCATAAACACTGGTGAACACACGCAGACTTTGCGATTGGAGAAATGTTCGTAAGTAACGTCCAAACACAATGAATTCCCATAGAAAAATGACCATGATCCATCTTCGTTTCAAAAGTAACTCTACCTCAATCTTCCGTTCCATTGATTTGTTTCCGTAATTGAAGCAAAACGATTCGGTTAACACTTTCCCAGAAGCGTTTGTCAAAGCATCATCATCGTAAATTCATCGTAGAAATTGAAATTCTAAACTTCGTTACAAATCAGTGAACAAAATGACCACTTTGTAGTTCTTTGTGGCAAAAGGATTTAGCATTTTTCTCAGTTGTACTTTGCTTTCGCTTACAATAACCAGATTAATTGTAATTCAAACTCGATAGTATATAATCAACAAGTTTCACGCAGCGTGAAGTTTAAGGTTCATTAACACGTTTACTGTCAAGTAGAAAAACCTATGTTCAGTACAGCATGGTATAATAAAAATTATTGCACTTATTTTTTACTTAATTGAATTCAATTGTTTCAGAAATCCGCAATCGAGTTGCTCTTTCATCTCAGAGAACTACCGATCGTCCTGCGTCCAAGTATACAATTATCACAGACTTTTAACCTGGGATAGCAAACTGGGTCTCCATATGGACATCTTCAAAGTACCAACTTGCTGCAGTTGCCATGTGCATGGTTACGCTGACATCTTTCCACCTCATCAGAGTGATCCACCTCCAAGGATCAAGGAATCCTTCCCTGGGTCTGATTTCGCCACAACAAACGATCAGAAAGATGATTTCGAGGACGTTTCGAAATTGAATTATTTAAACAAATACGTGGCTGGTTTTGATTCTGCTCTGGGTACGATTTTACTCTTTGGTTTATATATAGCAAAATCGTTTGATAAGATATTCAAATATTAATTAGAATAATTTTCATAATTTTGTAGGTTCAAGTAATAAGAAACCTTTATCAGAAGCTTCTCCAAGTCGACCCACCTTCACACTTCCTGTTAGAACGAGGCCCAAGAAACAACCTTCCTCTTCAAACTCAAGACCGTTTGATAAGTTACCTCAACAACATGCTCCAAATACAAGAGCACCAGGATACACTGGTCCATTGTTGAAAGGTTCCAGACCAAGCAGACCCAGTAGACCACCTTTTAGAAGGGAATCCACGTCTCATATCGAAGAGAACACAGAAAGTCTGAATAGCACAGCTCTAAATAGGTAATTGTTCAATTATCTTTGGATCTTTTATTATTTGTACCTAAGTAACGCGATATCGCGTGGTTGATTGTCAATTTTGAACGTTACAGTATACACTGCAACTAATTAGCTAAATGTTTCTTCCTGTATATAATATGCAAATCCTTCAACCGCAAAGTTAATTGAATGAATTATTTAGATACAGCCAGCCATACGATTTGGAAATGGACGCCTCGTCGCGATTACAAAACGGTGGTTTCGACGACGAATACCATGAACCACAGAGGCGAATCAATTACAATTACCACCCGATTATCGATTTCTTTCGACCAGAGGCATCGATGTTGCAAACAGCCGAAACTCAGTCAGCATCGGATCAGAATGATTCCAACTCGTGGAAACCGATGATATCGTCTTAAGTGATGTTTCATTTCCTTCGGAGTACCTGATCGTTTCTTTCTTTCTGTAATATTAATCGATCGTAGAGAAGCGAGAGTATTATGCATCGAATTGTTAGATTTTTATACATATTTCTTTTTTCATACCTATGTATACTGATATTCGTTAGTGTCCCCTTCGTGTTCATTAGTACTCTTCGTTCGTGACGATTAACCCTTATCTGGTTCAGTTTACTTCCAGAGTAAATTTTCAAAAATGGTTAGAATTATCAAATTATATTCAGAATTAAATGTTTAATTTTCGAAGGGTAGGTCTGGATCAGTAGAAAATTAATTAGAAAATATCAAGTGTATCAGTTCATTGACTTCACTTAGATTGGATAAGGGTTAATGAGCTTCGACGTTTGGAAAATTTTCAAAATTATTATTTTAATTTTATGTACATTTTATTTTCAAGCAGAGTACTAATGCAATGTTCAGTGTAACGATAGCGAACGTTTCAACTGTAGAAGTATTACGACCACATTGGGCAGGTGCAATCACTTCGCTGTAATTATGTAATACTGCGTGAATTTTATATTAATATATTTATTATTTCTAACGTTTATTAATTTATGAATTGTCACCGATTACTTGGATATTCGTTGTTACACGAATTATTAAATAAACTGTATGGCAACGACTCGAGTCTAGTCTTTCTTGTCGCATACCTTTTCTCCAGTTACAATTTGCAGGGATGTTATAATCTTTTCTTGTTCGATGTTTTATAGCCTTTCAATATTTCACAACACTTCAGACGTTTTACCTAACGCTGAAATAATTTCAACAAGGATTCAAAAAATTGTATAAACGATTGTGTAAAATGTTGAATTTAACAAGTTCAAGGCTGATTTTGAAATATGGCATTTTGTAAATCCTCCGATTTATTAGAATTCCTTGAAGAACTATAACGGCCAAGCGTTTGACGAGTCTTCAGGATCTCGAAGGACTAGTTTTCCAAATTCCTAAAATTAAAAAAGACGAGCGTTAATAAATCCTTAGACGAGCCTGGCTCTTCACAGTCAAGAGCAACGAGCGTTTTGCTTAGCTCAGTCGCCTGTAAATCGTTTGTTTCGCTTGCTAAGTTTCTGTCGAGGCGATTGCACCGGGTCTTTCCGCGTCAATCCGCGAAGCGTATCGCCGAGCCACAGTTTGTCTCGCTCTGCTGGCTTCGGATAAAACGTTACTGAACTTCCAATTCTAGAAACGAAGCCGTCGTTTGATCGAATTCTTCATTTTTTTTTCACGGCCGATAGGCTCGTAGATCATCTTGGTGATCAGAGTGCATAAAAATAAACAATGTTTAAGTCCTCCTTCCACTTACACACTCTTAATACAATATTACTTTTATAAAAAGGTATATTCCTGTAGGTAGGTTAATAAAATGAATCTGCATCCATTGTTTAAGGATCAATTTGGCTCATAAAATGAAAACCGTTGCACGATAATGGCGCAGCTAGGTCTGCCGCCTCCAAATTACAGTCATTACGCTCGAATTAGCGGAGTAACGGTAATACCAAGCGTGAAGAAATAAATTATGTATTGGACATACCTTTTGTCTCTTTATTATTATGAGATATCAATAAATTAGAGAAAAAATTAAGAATTTTGACAACAGTCTCTATTGAAGTAATTGATTCTGGATGACAGTTATCGAATATCGTCGAAAAATATTGTAATGTACCATTAGAAACCCTATAGAAATTGCCAAATCTCCACGGAAAGTGGCGCAGAAAAAATCGTTTGTGCGATCGGTATCTGGCCGATCGATGATTTCTTTATTCCCTTTCCAGTGAAACGAGCCACCGATTAGGCTCAATCGAGAGTGACAGAACCGTTCAACGTTCAGGCCTGCACGGTTCGTGAACAACGCCGCATCGAGTCGTTTGAAACCCTACTCTGTCTTGCTCTCGGATCGTTGGAAAATATAAATTAGGCCAGACGGACCGTGCCGCGAGCAGTTCGATGCAGGTTCTCGATCGAAAATGATTAGAAATCAACGAGTGTCGCGTCGACGTTGAAAAACCGACCGCAATTCATTCGAGAACATCGATGCTGTACTCGTAATATCGCTCGGGTCGCGATCGAAAGAACGACCGGTGCCTTTTTTCGAGGGTTCACGTAACCGTTGCCGCGCCAGCGAACAAACCTCCGAACGTGTCGCGGGAAAGTACAAAACAAAAGTGTTCGAACGTGATCGACGAACGTTAGGAAATCGGGAAATGATTGATCCGGAACGTCGACGTATCGGGGCAGAATGACTGTGATTACTTCGTCAGTGAACACGAATCTTTGAACGGTTCATCATTGATAACTGTAGTGCAATGGCAAGATCACAGTGACGAAATGAATGAAAAATTGTTGATCCTGTTGCTGGTGTTGGTTCTCGGATCACATGGGATATTAGTGGTGGATAAACCATATGTTTCGAGAACCTCCACCAATCTAACTCTGCGCGAAGCTGAACCTTGGAATAATTTCACAAACGGTGAACGAAACCTTGAAAGACCATCTATAGATTCAACTATAATTTCAAAGCAAGAAAACGAGGATCCCAATGAGTCCTCCGAAACAGTGGCTCAGAACAAGGTTCAGAGATCTTCAGAAATCGAAGAGGGCTCCGAAGAAGAGCCAGAAGGTCCTCCGGATCACTTGATCCCATATTCCGAACACGAAGAGCCAAGAAACGTTTCGACGAAGCCGAAATACGTCGGTCCAGGTGAATGGGCAAAGCCAGCGAAGAACAGCGATGTTCCTCTAGACTTTGTGCCCACAAAATTGTACGCGCAGGTGAGGAGAACTCATACTGTAAGGAGGTTACCTCGAAGAAAGGCGATAGAGAACGCAGAGTCTGAAGAGGAGAAGGAAAGCGCGGCGAGATTGAGAGAAGTGGTGAGGAACTCGAAGGTGAACACCGTGTACACCGAAGAAGGTTACGAAGACTCTGCTTACGACCATGGTGGACACATCAGGGACGCGGATTACCAAGAAGATTACGCTAGGAAGCTTCGCGAACAGTTGCACAATAGGAAGAAGTCTGGAGACGATGCTGACGAAGACGATGACGAAGGAGATGCTACTGAACAGAAGAAGTACGCGAAGATCAACCCTGAGGAGCTTAAGGATTATGAAGACTACGAGGATCACAAAGCTGATAGCAATGTTGTAAATGGAAGGAAAGAAAGGAAGGAAGGGTATCCGAAAGTGGTTGCAGAAGAGGGAATAAAGAAATTGCAAGAAGACGTAGAGACAGAAGTTGAGAATATAGAGAAAGGATTTGAAGAACAGAATTCGAGTAATGGAGAAGGTTCGAAAGAAAAAGGTGAACGAAGGAGGAAAACGAGAAAAAGGAAGAGACCAGCGTCGTCAGAAAAATCGGAGATTAATCATGGAGAAAATTTGGGAGAATCTCAAGGGATCAGAAATGTGGAAAATTATTCGACTACGGTGGTACCAGTTGCAACTACTACTTTGAAAGAAGATTTCGCTAATCCATCTGGGTCGTATCAATACGAGACCCATGAGAATTCACCGCATAGTGATTTTCAACAAGCTGAAGAAAACCCAACGACAATCAGTTACAGCCAACTCTTCTGGGATTACTTCAAGACGAGACAAATCGAACCAACAAAGATTCCAGCATCGTCCCGTTTAGAATCAACGACTGTGGGTCCAGATTTTCTGCAAGCTTCCTCCGTCCTGGGAAATGCGAATACACAGGCGACTTATTCTGTATATGATGAAACCACGACGTTGTTTCCGGTTGTAGAATCAGCGATCTTCGGTGCGAAGACTTTTGCTCCATCTCAGTTTATAATGGACCCAGAGTTCGTTAGAAGGAATGATCAAAATAATCAATTGTCCCATTTGAAGGAAACAAACGTGGATGATTTTTGGCGTCCTATTATTCCCAACGAACCAGCTACAACTACAGATACTCAATTTCTAGGAACATACGACGATAAGATTTTAAATAACGATCAAGGAATTTCATTTTCGAATTTTGTGAAAAACCTGGACAGCAAGGAACAGACCGATAAGAACTTGGACAGTTCCTTGTTCAATCCATCGTTGAATTTACTGACGAATCGTAAGCCACGTTATAAAATTGCTGTGAGACAGAAGCCAAAAAAGTCTGTCGAATATGGCAGCCAAAAATCATCAATTTTTAGTTCCATAAATGAACCACAGTTTGAAAATATAACACCAAAAAATATTCCATTTAACGAGAATTATATGAAGGTTCTAATGCACCTGAAGAATCAAGAAAAAGCTAGGAATCGTCATCCAAATAGTTTACAACCAAACAATTTTTATCCATCAAATGATCTAAGAAGAATAAGGCCACCTTCGCTTCAAAAGACCAGGGATTATTCCAATTTTTATCCACGTAGACCGATAGAAAATACGTATCGTGGTTCTCAGAAGATGCGTCAGATTCACAAGAATCATCAACCGCGTCAAATGCATCCTGATTCTTCGAAAACCATTAAAAGATCATCGACACGTAACAGGAATCTAATACCAGCCATTGATCTGCTTCCTCCAGTGCCACATTTGATCGACGACTTCGCTAGGACGAAAGAAACGAGCGATTACCTAACCGGAAACGGTTCGAACCAAGTGAGAAACATTCTGAGACCGTTCCAAAGGACGGTCTCGGTCGACCCGATCGCTGGAATCCGCGCAAAAAGGCGCGAAAGAAGATCGACGAACGACGGGAACGTAGGAGACGTGAAAGGCTCGCGATTATCGGCAAACAATGACGAGACGAATCGGTACGAAATAGAACGAACAGCTAAAAATTCGTCGATCGAGAGAAATTCGTTGCTGAAAGCAAACAGCAGCCAGCAAGTGGCACTCGTTCCGGATACGTCCGCGGAAAAACGAAACGACGAGAAGAAATCGGGATCGGAACAGGGGAAAGAGTCGTTTCAAGAGGGGCGTGCCGTGGAAAGAGAAAGCAATGCTGGTGGCGACGATTCGAAGCCTCTGAAGTATAACAATGACGAATGGAAGAGAAGAGACGTCTTTGATGAAGAAGAATCAATGACAAGCGATGGATTGAAGAAGAGCCACGAAGACCTTCTGAACGAATCGCCGAAAGTGACCAACGATGTGATACAGAAAGAAATCGATGCTCGTTTTAATGAAAAAGAAGAAGAAGAAGATGAGCAAGAAGATACGGAAGATGATGTAGAAGTGGAGGTCCCAGATTTCGATTACGTGGAGGAGATACCTGAAGAGAAGCATGCTGACAATGAAACCGCAGAACCTAGTGTCCCTAGCATGGATCTTGAAAAGTATCCTTTTTATAATAATGAAAAAGTACCAACACCATCTGCTCTAAAGTACGCGATTGACCCTGAAAGATTACCCAGGAAGACTTACGGAGGGATGGAGTTTTACGGTTCTAGAGATGCATATAAACATTGCGAAGAGGTTGAACCTACCTTGAAGGTATTGCCAGAGAAGGAAGAGCCAGCCCCTGATAAAGGTCCAGAAGAGAATCTTCCTCGTCTTCGTGGCCTGGGAGACAAATTGGATTGTTTCAAGGCCAAGTACTTCGACAACGACCCTTTCGACAATCCTCTGTTCCTGGAGAAGGAAGTTGAGGACCCCAGCCCTCCCGAGGAACTGGACACCAAACAGTTCGCTTCCAGGATCATGATGTTCCCTAAACAAAACGATGACTATGTTATTCAGAAATCATCGAGAAAACCAGAAAACTATCGTCGACCTCGGAAACCAAGTTCCAGCACGGTTAGGCTCCCGAAATCGAGGCGTGTTCTTTATAGAACCGTTCCAGGAACCGGAAGAGGGAAGAGACCTCGGGTTTACAGGGTGAAAGGAGTGCGAGTGAAATATGTAAAGGGTTCCAGAAGACCGCAGAAGGTTTATAAACGACCCGTCACCTCTGCCAGCGATGTGTGGTCCTTGTACACTCCTTACCAAAGCCAGGTTTACGAGGATGTGATGGGAACCATAAGGAACATGGCGAACTCGTATCAAGTTTACGAGGTGACCACTGTTCCAACTTCGGATGAAGCCACTGTTATAGCTGAAATAATAGATGATATTAAAACGAATATCTCTGGAAATTCGACTATTTATAGAAAAAAGGAGAAGGATAAAGAGTTGATCAATATCATGGAACGTCCTCGTAAAGTGGATGCAAATATTGAAGGCATGTTGCCACCAAAATATTCCAATAGACAGCAAACTGTCTACAACAGGAACAGGATTCCTCAGAGAAATAAAACAAGGGTGCAGCGCTGGAGAAAAGTTCCCAGTGGGGTGAGGGTAAATCATCGTCAGAAGGTTCGTGTTTATAAGCGAAGTGCTGAAGAATCAAGCTCGAAGGAGAAAGAAATGCTTCCGACTTCAGAAGAAACTAACAATTCTTCGGGCGAAGTTGTTAAAAATGACACAGATTTTCTTGGTAGAAGAAATTCGACAGCATTTGATGCAGTTTCACGATTGATCGACGCGAAGAGAAAGTCTAAGGTGCCTAAAAGTGTTTCGAATGATAATGAAGATGAGAAGAAAGAAGAGCAGAAGGTCATCTACACGATTAATGACAGGATCAGGTATTCGAAGCCGAAGGGAGATGTGACAAGAGTTGGGAAATTTGGAAATGAAACGGAAATAGAGGAAGACAAACGAAGAAGAGAACCAAAATACAATTATATTAAAAGAAGAACCACAACAGAAACACCTTCTTCAGATTCAACCGATGAAATTAATGGGACTGAAGCAAGTATTCCTACTGCAACGATAATAAACGAGGATATTGAACGAACTGACAAAGAACTAGAGAAAGAAAATAAAGAAATCCACTTTCTTGAAGATATGAAAAATGAAAATCTTAATGAATCTACGAAACACGAAGAACAAGATCAGATTTCACGTTCGAATAAGCAACCATCAAACAAGACTAGAATTGGCTACGCTGTTTATGAAAATGTGAACGAAGATGAAGAAAGCACCACGCAGGTACCTGATCCAGAGTCTCCTTCAGGGTTCTTCAATTTAAAAACCTTCTTGGAAACCGATCCTCCAGGATACACTTCGTCTTCAGACGAGTTCAAGAAATCATTATTCTCAAATAATAACAGCTCTAATGATTTCAAGTTCGATCTTGATTCCACGAACGTGAAGGAAAGAGAAAACAGAGAACCAAAAGATGAAGACAACACTTCATTTGATCATCGTTCTAATGAAGAGTCTTCAGAGAAGGTGGATATTCAGACAAGCACAGAATCGTCAGAAGAAAACGACTCGAAAGAGAGCGATTCAGAAGAGCACAGCACGTTCTTCAAGTACGAAACAAGACCTTCTTCTCCGGCAGAAAATTTTGAAGATGAAAGATACGCGGAGCTTGGACCACGCGTGAACAAGCCAGCCTTCTTCCATCCTCCTTTCTCCTTCTCCAGGACATCTCGCTCAAAAGGAAGTTCCGAAGAAGCTGAAGAGAGCGAGGAGAAAGAAGAATACGTGTTTCCATGGTACAAGGACAAGGAGAACGAACGAAAGAAAAGACGTTATCGCGGTAAGATTGGAGAATACGAGTATCCTTGGGAAAGAAGAGAACGTTTAGCACGCGAAAAGAAGAGGAAACGTAAAGGGTTAAGTGAAAGCTTCGACGATGACGAGGATGCTGAAGACACGGCTCTGAATTATCGCAAACTCTATCCCCGGGGGAAGTATCGCTTCTGGAGCCGTGTAGACAGAGATGCTACGGAAGAAAATACTTCCGATGCTGTGGGAAGCAGCAGCGAGCAGAGACCTGTTAGAAAATACAGCAGCAAATACAGCGCGAAGAGCACCAAGCTGCCGATAGTGAAAAAGAAGATGAAGGGGAAGTCTAAGAGCCTTGAAGAAATAAGTAGGTCTATTAAAAAGGCTCTGGAAAGTGATTCCGAGGAGAAGAAGAATGATTCTTATAAAAATCGAGGAGTCTCCAGAGGGATCGTTCCTGAAGACGTTACTTTAGAACCGACTAGAAGAAACAAGAAGAAAATGAAGAATTCTACTTCCGATATCATAGTCATTGAGAATAAAAATTCTACTGAATCCTTGAAGAATAATTCTGATGATTCTGAAGTTCAAACGACGATCCTGAAGGCTACTGCGGAATTAAAGAATTCTACTAGTTCGAATAAGAAGAGACGAAGACCGATGATGAATGCTATTTCTAACGTGGAGAATACATTGAAGTCTGTCGACGATTCTAATCGATCTCGTCGAAGACAGAAATCTGGGTCAACTACTCCTGCAACGACCACGACTATAGCGAGCACAACTTCAGCGTCTAGGGTGGTTCGAAGGAGAAATCAGAAGTCAGTCAAGGATCCGAAGAGAATTGGTAAGGCCGTGAATCAGTCGAACAATGAAACAGAGACATCGACGTCGAAAAGCAGAGCACTGGGACATCGTTCGAACGCGGTGAAGGGAAAAACTGGTGAAAAGAAAAGTCCCATAAATAAAATATACGACCGATCGGATAAAAACGCGAAACGTGAGGAGACATTGGTGAAAAATTCGGACAAAATGAAGGAATTGGATAAGAGTAACAAGGAGCAAGAAAATAATTTGGAGAATGAGAATGGGAATAAAAAATCTGATGTCGATGATTCGAAAAAGATGGAAGAAACAAGTAAATTGAATCAAAAGTTTTCTTTCGGTGATGACGATGAGAAATTTAATTTCGAGGATGATAGTGTAGAGATCATGAGTGATTTTGATAAATCTGATGACCCTTCTGACGAAGAATTTGGAAGTATTTTGAAAATAGATGCGGGTTTGACACCGAAGAACAGAGCTGTTCAATTATCCGAGCAAGAATCCAGGGAAGTCGTATCTTCTGTTTCCTGGATATCGGAGAATTATAATTTCTAAGACACAATGCGTTTTTTTCTATTTTTGTTTTACTAGTGTTTTTGTATGAATTCGAAAATGGAGAAGAAAGCGAGGGAAATTGAAAGTTAATGAAAAAGTACTAGAAATTTGATGAATTTTAACGAGATGTCGTTTAAATAAATTGATTGTTATTATAGTTTTCCACTTTCTTTCATAGAATAGTTTTATTTTACTTTAGATATTTTCAGATTTTCTAATTCTGAATAAAGCAATTTTAAATGTAACAATTCTGAATAAATTTAATTATTATTGAAGAATAATTCTCACAATTATAGAGTTGAAATACTTTCTCCATAAGTTTTGCATTATTTACATAAAGTTATATTTGTTATGATTATGTTATTTACCTGTTACTTGTGTTGTATATAAATTGAATTATTTTCAATAAAAATAAATAGATCCTTGCTAAAAAATACTCTTTCTTTTTTATAATCAATCATAATCTACCAAATCTCTAAATTACTATTATTACTCAATCACGTTCTCCAGCTAGATATCCTTGATCTAATTTGCAACTAGTTGGGTGTCTCAATTTCTGCACAGGATTTAGCATTCGGTAGTTTGTCAATGATTTTGTTATAGTAAATTGTTCATCAATAATTCCTCTCTCAAAACGTTATATTGGCGAAGAATAATGATGCGTGATATAGCAATGCTATTATACTAATTATCCTGTGGTTAAGCAATAATGATTTTATTTAGTTAGATGCACTTGCGTGTTTCATGGTCTAAATACCATTGCGGTTAGAAAATTAATTAATCATCTCCGAGCTTAATGATTGAAGCTGTAGAATAGGGTAATTGAATGGATGGATATTAAATGAAAATTCATTTATTCTTGCTTCTCGATCACCTACCAACTTTTACGGTATAATTTATAATAATTTCACTTACAAGATGGATATCATTGAAATTTTTTATTTTAATAATTCCAAGTTTTATTAAGTCTTGGATAATATTTTCTTAGTTACCTACTGTGAAAATTTACTTTATTCTGGTTGTTTGATGTGAACGGTAGCTTGGCGTTCACCAAGGTTAAGGTGGACGATACCTCCGTTTAGGTACGTGTTGCATTCTAATAAAATCCTGTATCGATGAATAACACTCGATACTGAAAGGGAATACTAAGCTTCGATTGGTCAACCACGAGGCCGAGCCCCGTATATAATTCGATCTTTAGTTTAATGCTTTAGTTTCCTTCTGGTCTCGCGTCGCGGCTGCGAAAGGTCAATATGCTTCCTTTAAAGGTACGTCTTGTGCTTATTTCAAATAAAAGAAAATAAATAACAGCGTCACAGTGATTCTACAAAAATAAAAGAGTATCATATATGGTACCAATTAATGGTGCGGTGAAATTCAATTGCCAGGGTGAAATGTAGTTTGGAAACATGAATGGTTTTTTAAAACAAAGTGAATAAAAATTATCGAATACGAAGTGATTTATTAACAAAGTATGATGAAGTGATATTCTATAAAAAGAATTTCACTTTTTACATTATTATAAGGAAGTGTTCTCCAATTTTGTTTGAATTCCAAAATTCCTTTGTGATTAATATTTCAATATTATTAAACATTGCAGTAACATTTAAAATACTTATGAAGATTTGCACACGTGAAACGTAATCAATCTCGTCACCAAATTAAATAATTTAAAACTACTGATAATAACATTTGAAATAACATATGCTCTATACATAGTTGACACAGAGACAGTGTCATTCCTCACGTGACAATTTGGAAGCGAGTTTATAAACGCACTCAGGTAGTCAGAAGAAAAAGTGAAAATAGTCGAGAATACGAACGTAATACGAATCACGTGAATAACACCGTGAGAGGTGATTGCGTCCTCGAAGGTCCATATGTTTCACAGCTATGAGAACATTGGAGGCATGTTCAATGAACTTTCCTGATCGAATGTTGAGAATTGCGTTCTCCTTGAATAAAACTGCTGAAATTACCACATTGATTCTCCAAACAAGAAACTCTTACAATCCTACTTTTACATTATCTCCTCGATATTCAAATATTTAACTTCTGAGATAATTAAGGAAGGAAAAATTTTTAATTTTTATCGAAAACTTTGCGTGCAAATATATTTTATAAACTATCGAGAAAGCAAGGACGATGACGAAAACCACTGAAAATAATATAGCCTTGGATTGGCTAATAGTAACCTTACGCTTGTCTATCATTTGATCTTCGATTTCGTACTCGAGTTTCACTTGCATTTCGCGATTTGTTGAGCAACAAACCAGGATATTTATACACTAAAACCAGAGCATTTTCGCGATGGATTTGAATGAAAGTGTTGCGGTTACTGAGATCAAGTCCCTTTCGAGAGATAGAAATAGAGTATCAAAGGAAAGAGAGAGCGCTAAACGTCTAATAGATAACGTTTCCAACTAGTTTATTTAACATTTCATGAAATTTCTAAGCTCTAGGAGTGCAAAATGAAGCAAATATTAGAACGCAAATATTGACACACTTTCTATTTACAACTTTCATTTTTGTTACTACTGATTGTATCTAATACTCTGCAATTATAGAATTACAAAATCTGTGAATTAACATTCTTATTTTTAGTAATTAATTATTTGCAGCCTGTTTTGCTATTCACCGTGCTTGGTTTGCTCAAGTTATCGACAGCCGCACCGGACAGTGCAGGAATCGTTGAAATGGTGAACGGATTGGCTTATGGTAAGTTAGTTTCCTCACCTTTCCCTCACAATACATGATTTACACAAATTATTGCTCAATTGTTTTATAGGATATGGTTGAAATACGAGCTGACTATTATTATTACATATCTTTAAATAAAATAAACAATAAACACCACAGAAATAACAATTGGTATATCACATTTAGATAAATCACCACAGAGGACGACACTGACATTCCACATTACTTCATCACGATTTTTTAATTTTTATTCATAATAAAAAATTTGAATTAAAAATTGAAGTTCAAGCTCTAGATTTTAATAAGGATCATCAGAATACAGATTATTGATGATTCTGTACCTTATTACAGTTTTTGTTTCATTAGAAAGGGCAGAAGTTGGAGAGATTTCAATGCACGCATAGAGGAGATTTCAATGCGCGCATTGGAGATTTCAATACATGGATAGGCGGTATTGTACGCTCGTAATATTGTAGCCGACACATTTAAACTTGTTACGTTCCGCTCAATTATTCCATTGCTTTCCCACTAATTACTACTCTAATTGCAGGTGGAATCCCATATGGAAGTGTAACTGGCATGGTGGCGAAGTACCCGGGATTTATGAGACAACAAATTCAAGCTCGACAATTGAATGCTTTCCGAGCTGTTCAACCACTAGCTGTCAACACCAATTTCGGAGCTTCAAGATTAGTGGGAGTGCAACCGCAAACCGTGCAAATTTACAATGTACCAGGTGTCGTTGGCACAATTAGACAGCTAGGATATTGAACATAATTAGTCAGAGAACACTGAAGCATTAAAACTTGAAGGTACAAAACTTCTGTCAAAATTTATGTATATTGTAAACGTTTCATTACATTTATTGTCACATAATGTACGATTTCATTTAGAAAATTCATTAGTTGATATCATTAAAGCTAGAGAAAACGTCTTAGAGTTATTTATTTTATTTCATTAAGTATTGATGTTTTAGAAAATAAGGATAATAGTCGGAAAACATTTCGATTGTTACTTGAGAATGATTTTGTCACCTTGAACCAATAAAATAATTAAAGATTTTAATGTCAAGTGCTTAATTAAAGCGCAAATTTTATTCCGGTACGTTCATTGAATCGCTAAGTAAAAAATGAAAGTAATTATAGTGATTCTTTGACAAGTAATCATTTATTTCAATATGATTGATAGCTTTTTCTGTTGACAAAAAATATTTTTACTGTAGAGATACTAATGAGCCACGTAGCATAACATTTTGCCACTCATTAGCAGATCAGCTAGAATCTAAGGAATGCAATTACAAAGTTTGCGAATTGACGAAAGGAAAACTTCACGAAGCTAAACACACATTGCAACATTATGAAATTCTAATTATTACTTTTCTACATTTTTGTGATAAAATATGTATTTAATTAAATTTCTGTAATTCTTATGAGTATAGCTTAGACTTCATATCAAGGGCTATTACATTATGTTAATAAATCTCATCTATTATTATTGTAAAATCGTCACTGAAATAGAATTAAAATTACTTTAGTTTCAAAATAATTCTATATCATTTTTACCATGAAGAGTAAGGCGTACGATCAATGAACCTCCTATAAATCAAATCAACCATTGACGTTTCAAAATGAACGAAATTTCATTTATCAATGAAACATGGAAAATTGATGGGTATTATACGAATTGAATTAGGGTAAAAGCGTTTATGGAGAGAAAGTATAAATGACATCGGGCACGGTGTATGACTGTTAGTCGTCACGAGTCGCACGCACGATGCATTACCCTCTACACGTGAGTATATCGACGCTAATACAATCCTCGTTGACTGACAGGAAAAAAAAGAAAAGAGCCGACTATTTCCCAATCGTGAAGATGATATTCGTCCTACATCGATGCACCATGCGGTAACGGGGTCACTTTCTGAGCACGATTCGAGAAAATTGATTTTAGTCTTGTTCGAATCTAACCATGAGCCTGTGGCAATTGTCTGTTACATAACACATTAACTTCGTTTACGTAGAGTACTCTTCAACTATGACATCTATGGTATATTGAATAAACATTTTATAATAATAAAGGAAATAGAGTTTGATTCCTCTCATTGAAACTTGTTATTTTTATTAAGTACGTCTTACGACATAGAGTCATTCAAGTATCACTTGATATTTTTCACTCTGATGATTAAAATTTGGGAACTGCTCGTCAATTTTTGCCTGATTTTATTATTGCATGGTGCAACATAAAAAATTTAAAAGAATTTCAAAGTCTTTAGTGATAGCTATTCAAATTAATATAGAGTGTAATATAAACACCGCGCTAATAGAAATTACGTGATTGCGATTATTAATCATGATTTTGTGAATAGTGTAAAGATTCATACCTGTCAAGCAAATTTTAATGAACCATTCTATAATTCATCACGTACTCTATACCTGTATATTCACAGATACGTGTCCTTGCAAGAAGAAAGGATTAAACGTTACATAATTGCGCTAATTACCATCCGTGTATAACAATAAGAGATAACGTACTCTATGAGTGTCTGAATGTTTGTTCTGAGAACGTGTTCCACTTGAAGTCCATCCAATTAACTGTAAACAAATCTCTAACTGAGAATGAATTCCATAAAATCTTCGTCATTGATAATATTTTTAATTGTTTAAGAGATCCGGTATCGCTCGATGATTTCCCGGGTGTTTAATTAAGAAAGTAATCGTCTACATTGTGTACCTAATTAATGAGCATAAACTGGCATCGTTTGCGAACATTTTTTTTTATTCGTCACATAAACGATCCATTGATTCTGCTGGAGTTTCATTCGATACCTTATTTTAAATCTAGATAATGGCCATTCATGAGAAAACCACGTGTTTTATTACGGTGGTGGTGCTGCTCGCACAAATTAACCTTCGTGAATGAATAAACCATGAATGAAACCCGATACACATTCATCTTACTTTCTTTCTGAATTATTTATTACTATATTTCGTTTGATGCACTTGTAAAGTGCAGATAGTAAAATCGAGAAGAATCTCTTCCTTGGAAATTAACACTGATATGAAATCGCACAAATCTGCCATTTCGTTGTGATACAATGTAACGAGTAATGAGTAGTAATTCACCGATGTAATTTTCTTATATGACCTACTATTAGTGACACAGTAATTGCACTCCATTTCCCTGCTTTCATCGATGCGTGCCGCATATTTTGCAATGCAATTTCGATATTGTATAACCGGGGTCAATTATTTTCTCAATTAGTGCGCGGAGAGTTTCGTTCTTAGAATTCCACGGGTTTCAGGAAGTAATAAGCCCGACTGATTTGTCAAGTGTTACAATCTCACGGACGATGAGCTTAGCGAGAATGGAACGGGAAACGCGTAGCAAAAACGTGATATTCAATTATGGAAAAAAAAGAGATAAATACTTGTGATTCTTCCGTACGCTTGTTCAGTGATTTACACGGTACTTTTTATACAGGGTTAATAATCACTCGATTTGCACAATATCTATTGTACGCGGTTTTAGTTTTACGATCAATCAATTTGTGCAATTGTATGCAATTTTGTTGCATATCGATGAATACAATGTTACCAATTATGAATTTTGAAACATAGAAATCATCTTTCGAACGCACAAAAATTTTCATAATTCACTGCACCGTGGAAAGCAAGTATGTCACGTACGAAACGGTAAGTTTCTTTCATTGCGCAATGACAAATAAAACACATCGTATTATAGAAAATTACCGGGCACGCGATCGCAGGTGGCTCATTACACGGGGCTGCGTTACGCAGTCCAAAGGGAAGCCAGGATTTTCCTGATGGAAACGAAAGAAAGAAAAGTGACGACTCACCTTCTGATTGTCGCTTTTGTTCTATTGCAGATAACGGTACTTTGTGCGACGTTCTGGATCCTTCAGGATGACGTGTACGCTGCAAAAAACGGATTAAGTAAGACCATTATCATTTCATCCTGAGAATTTTCTATAGTAATCGCCCTTGAACTGCTTTTCAGGCAATCATGATTATTTTTAGATTGATAGATCGACTATATGATCTTTTTTTCTAACACATTGACAAGCGTATTCTGTTATCTAATAATTTTAAAAGAATCCTTAAGATCAATAAAATAAATAAAAAATAAGGTGACGTACAATGTAAAATCGGTCAATCTTGTACCAAAACGGGGTCAAAATCATTTAAGGGAGAAAGTACAAATGACATTTAATATGATGCATCAGTTGCACGCACAACGTATTATCTGTTACACTAATAAGATTCTCGTTGACAAGAAAAAAAGGGGGAATTTCGAAATAGAGAAAACGTTATAGGGGAGTTTCTCTAGTACCGGACGGCACCTAGTATCGGACATTAGCTATATCTAAAAGAACCGAAATGTGACAAAATTGTTTCAACCGTCAGAATAAAGGAGAGGATAAAACAAACGTTTGACGGTTGAAACAGTTTTGCCACATTTCAGTTCTTTCAGATATAGCTAATGTCCGATACTAGGTGCCGTCCGGTACTAGGGGAACTCCCACTGAACTTCTTTTTATCGAACCAAAAAAATTATTTTTGTAGACTCGTTCGAATTTTGTACAACACAAAACAGAGGAGATCGCCTTTTACATGCCTGCATAATGGATTTCTTTATCATCATATTAATATTCTGCAATATTTTAAGTATACTTAATAAGATACGACCTTGTACAAAAAAGCTGAAACAGTTCCATTCTGCAGCATTTTTAGCATCCTTAATTAATTACGATTTCAAGTTAGAAAAAAAGAGGAAAATAGTTTCGAACTGGAAGCGTGAGAATCCATTATTTTTTTTCGATATTCCCACTGGGAGTGAAACGAAAACGAAGATTAATTACCACAGTAAACTTTGACTTTCAAATAATTATCTTTCTAACGTCGAAAATCAAATTGGTCAATCAGAGTGACCGATGTTCTCCAAAGTATGTCACGACTGGTTCGAGGGTTGATTAGAAGCGTTTCTAAAAAGATTCTATCGAAACGACGATTTCTAAAATGCTCATTTGCATAATAGATGCTGAGGTGCTGACATCGTTCGCCAAGAACGTGGCGTCGATCATATCGACGTCCTTGTTGGGAGAGTATCAAGAGCAATCGACGAACCAATTTTCTTCCAGTCTTCTGAAAAAGATACAGGATGACCCGTCTTTGCTTAACGCTGAGAATATCGAGAATGGGAGTTTAGAAGAGGCGTCGAAATTCTCTTCGAATCGCCAACGGCGGCAAGCACGTTCATCGAAGGAAGTAAGAGGGGCATTCCAAGACGGTTACATAACGCCGAACCCGCTGGGATACTCGAAATATTATAATCCTGAACCTTACAAGCCGTACGAATATACGGCGAACCATGATGGACGAATTTCTGGAAAGGAGGACGTCTTCAACGTTCAAACCTCGAAGAACACCAACGTAGATACCAGAGGCAATTCTATCGATGCAGACATCAATGCAGCTTCTGTTTATTATTCTGATAGATATCGGTATCCTGCTGGGCACAGGCACAATTCTAATCCTGTTCATCCATTGGTAAATTCGAATCTTCACCCATACTTTGGATTTCAACCTGTTTATCACCATTCGCCACCTCAGAATGCTGGAGGACCAGGTCAACCTTCGGAAATAGAGGAAAATGGAAACGAGAATGCTAGACGAAGACCGTATAATCTGAATTACCAGGCTAATTTTCACGCTCCTAACCACAGACACGTAGGATTCTATCCACATGGAAGACCGATCGAAGGGAACGGTCAACCTTCACCACCGGTAAATGGTCAGGATGAAAGTAATCCATCTAGACTGATCGACGACCAGAATCAAGGCCAATCGACCTTAGGAGGATACGATTATAGTCCTCATTTTCACTACAGACCACCTTACCACGGTGGTTTCTATCATGGTTTTCCTGACTTTCCTTATCACCCTCATAATGTTTCTGATAATCCAGGGTACGGAGAACAAGGTGGTAATTCTAGCGGTGGTTATCCACCCTATGGTCCACCAGGTTTTCCCGATTATAAATACAATCCTTATCCTTACTATTCACCCTTTCCTCCGTATTACCATGGGCCCAGAAGACCCGTCGAACCTCAAAATCCTCCGGAAAATTCTGGTAATGGAGAACCGAATATGTCACCGGAAAACGGACAGGCTGATGGGAATGGAACGGTACAGAATCGACCACCCTATGGATTTCCACCGTATGGTCCAGTTTATGGGGATTTTCATTTCCCAGGATATCCTCTAGTGGGATATAATGGTTTTCCCTATCATCATTTCAATCATGGGTTCCATAATCACCTGTTTCCATATTTTAAAGTGGGTCCTTATCCTCATTTTCCATTGGGTCCTTGGTATAACCACTTTGGTGGTTATCATCGTCCTTATAATGGCAGAAAACCTATGATGATGCCTGATAAGCCTATGCAGGATGATAAGAGTACTAGCGAAAATGCTGAAGGGTCACCTCCGAACAGCGACGCGGAAATGATAGCAGAGAGCAAAGCGGAAATAACTGAAAACAAGGAGCTTCCTTCTTGGCTTTTTACCGAAGAAATTAAAAAGCCAGTATCTGATCAATCTATCGAGAAGATATCTTAACAGGGTGAATTTGTAATATTTATTTATTGTGAAAAATAAAATATAAAATCCTCATCGATATTTAACGAATATACTCACAAATGCAATTGGACTGATTTTTCGTTATAATTATTTATGTAAATTTTTACACTTCGCTATTAAATAATTTATGAATCTACTTGTGTATATAAAATCCTTATCCTCGCAAGAAAACCGGTGTCTATTCACGGTGTCTCATCGAAACGGAAAAGTTTAATTAGGGCTTTGCAAGGTGTTCTTTTAACTACGACACGTGCCGTAACTTGGCATTGGTCTGCGAAACGTTCCCATACTTATGATACACAAAAAAGTTCCCATAGCTCTGGTTGGCCTTATCCTGCAATTATAAGGCGTGCCCACCACGCATGCCGACTACGGTCTAATAATTTTCGTGGCCTCCGCGATCAGGGATTTTGCATATGCGTGTCGCGTATCAACCGGATTGATCGACGAAGATGACTCAAAGACGATTGTTACGAGATGAAGGCAGAGCGCGGCGCGAAGTTTCGCATAGTGTCGACCGAAATAAAGTTTCCTCGAGATCGGTAACAACGCAGTAGAAATCGATTTATCGTCGAGTATTCAAGGTGAACACAGCGATACGTAATATGCGGAAAATCCTTCAATATTCATGGTACTATTCAGTTCAGAGGGAAATAGTCTACGGGAGAACAGGACAAAATGATTACGTAACAAGTAGAAGTGGACATTACGATGACTAAGATCATGTGGATTCATGAATAAAGAACTAGTATCAGAAATCAATCGAATATTGAATTATTTAAATTAATAATTAATGATTTCCTATTACATGCCTCCCTATCCAAATATCCCCTGATACGATCAACATGTCGACATGCACACTAATTTAAATTAATAATTAATAATTTCCTATCATATGCATCCCAATCCAAATATCCCCTGATACGATCAACATGTCGACATGCACACTAATTCATATACTGAATATTGTACGTGAAATCAAAATACCGAAACACATGTTGAGTGTGTTGTAATTGACAAACGAGTTGTTTCAAAGTGATGTGCAACAGACAATCAACGAATCACCAAGTCACGCGATTCCTTTTCCTGGTGAAACGAAATGATTATTCATCTCATGTACGACAATAAAGCATATGGTCATGTTATGGAATCTGCACTGTGTACTTTTTGAAACACTAAGAAATTGTAAGGTAGTATACATCTGAACTCATGTGCATGCATTCCACTTAACACTTAACCCACCAGCATTGCATTTATGCAATGTTTCTGAACTATCGCTAAACTGCCGGCATTGCATTTATGCAATGTTTCTGGACTATCGCTAAACCGCCGGCATTGTATTTTTGCAATTTGTATTATAATATACAGTCTGGTTCGAAGAGTTAGGCTGGTTTTTCCTTCAGGAGACAAATTCTTAAATTTCCTAAATTAGTGCCGGTGGTTTACGTTCGGCAGCAAATTAAAAAGCCGACGGGTTAAGTTCATTGTATAACAAAAAGCAACAAATTAATCCTTCTTTCACACTTACATACATATATAAATGTTTTCGGTTCAAAGGCGATTCGTTGGGTAATATCGTAATCGATGTTACTTACGAGCGTGGCGCATTAACTGCAATTAACGACGAACGCATCCTCGGTTCCACGCGTGTCGCAATGCTGATTTTTTTTCACAATTTCGTTCTGTACCGTGTAATTTCAGTATTTTGTAACGTGATCCCCTCTCGCATGATCCTGTTATGCAATCTTTCACTTTTCTTCTTTCTGTCTCGATCATGATGCTGCTCGTAATGGTATCAGCTTTCTTTGGGTACGATACACACTGCAGTGCCTGGAGTGATAATTAACCCCTTATGCAGTGTTATGCATTTAATATAGGATGCAATTTTCTAGTGAGATTTGTTTGATTTTTAGATTGAAGGACAATTAATTCATCAAAATTTTCCAGAACTGAAAGGATGGAATTACGTGTCGGAGTCGTAATGAGAGGTCAATGAACTCTTGTCTCCTTCTTTGATTTTTCATAATAAGCCTCGTAATCACAAGACACAGTTTGCTGGATCGAGAAGAGATCAAAGGATCTCGAGTACTTGCTTGACAATTGTATGTAAATCTTGAGTTATTACTTGCGAACTCGAAGTGTGGATAATTAATTGATGAATAATGCATGAAACGTTGCTGAATTTACACTCCTAGTTTGTTGAAATTCGCATAATTTCATATTCTCATTCGCAGAAACATGTCAATCATAAATCGACCAATAGATCATAAGATTCAGTAGAAAGGTAACGGAAGGAATACAAATTTTCCAAAAACGAAAAAGGACCTTCTTCTCTTTTTGCATACTTAGAATTGCAATTAAATGACGTTAACAAATTCCATCGCAATCCATTGTTCATCCCAGATGGTAAATCCTATGAATTAGGCAACGCTATAGAAGGTTTCTCAGTCGAAAACGCAGTGAAATTTGGATGTCAAGGCGTTGTTCACAGGGCGTGCACCGTTGACTATCCCGAAACGCGTTGCTGCATCGTGTCTCTTTCATAATGACGTATTGCATTCGCATAATCCCAGGGTAACAATGGTAGCCTTTGCTATTAGTGTTAACAGAGAGAAGCCAATACGATGCTGAGAAAATTGTTGTCGGGGGCCGCAGCGGGACCCGCCTTTCTTATAAAAGAACCTGTGTCCAACGTTAGACGGACAGTGGTGAACTACTGACAGATACGAAGGAAAAAAATTAGTGCAATACTTCGACCAGCTAACTGGCTAACGTCAGCTGACGGAGAATGGCTTGCCTGAAAATTGTAAGTGCGAGGGTGTTAAAAAATTTCAAATTTTATACCTTTGAATGAAAAATATTTTTATCATAATTATGATGGTGCATTTGGAATTTTTCCTATTGAGCAGAATCTAGTTTACTTTAGGCAAATTATTAATATAACTTAAATATTTTATTTTTCCTTGGAAATTTAATTCGGAGCTACTACTGATCTACCTTCAACTAAAATAGTTTAAAATAAAATATTAACGCGCCTAATGATTGTTTTTATACAGTACACAGTCCTGCTGCTGGCTGTCATTATCGGTATCGTTTCTGCGAAACCAGGATACCTGGGTGGATACGGATACGGCTACTATCCATTTGGCTATGGCTACAGATACCCATTTTACGGATATGGACACGGTTTCGGATATTATGGTAAGAGAACAAACTGCATGATCAAATTTAGAACGCGACAAGACTGACTCAACGTCAATGAATCTTTTGTATCTTTCTAAATATTCAATTTAAAAGAAATTCTTCAATTTTTCACATTTCCATATATGATTTATAAATTCTTGATTCTTTAAAATGAGCAAAATATTCATAGACGTTGTAAACAGAAATCGCAGAGTAGACAAAACATTCATCGACGTTACTCTGTCATGATTATTTGCTTTTCCATTTAGGCTACCCCCATTATGGTTACGGTCACGGATTCGGTCACTATGGTGGCTATCACTAATCGAAAAGATGACATTATGGATACCACGATTCGCAAAGAAGAAGCATTTTGAAGCGATTCTATGCTATCGTAATTTTTCTTGACAAGAATTGACAGTGAAATGCGTTTACTTTTCATTAGTCGAAAGCAATCGTATCTTCCACCCTAGCACCGTCTGCATTTATCATGCAAGTTCTGTTTAATCATGCAACTAATCGTAGTAATCGGAAAACAACGATGCAGACATTTAAAAAGTGAACGGTTTAGATTGTACTCGATTACACCTTATATCCTCACCGTCGCTTAAGATTGTGCAAGTCGAATGAATAAAACGTAGATTTTAATCGAAACAACGTGTTTAGAGTGTCTTATTATCAAGCCTAATATAAACCCTTTTTTCGGCGACGAATTAATTATGAATAATACATAGAATGTATGATTTTCCAAGAGCAATAATACCACTTTTTATAAATAAACTAAATAACCAAAGCAGAAATTTAATTCTCATATCAGTTAAAAAATAAACACGTGTCACAATGATATTAATTTACACCTTCTTTTATAACTTCCATAAAATAAATGATCCTTTGATCATATATCCTGACGAAATACAAAGTTAACGATTGAAGGAATCTTAAGTTTGTATTTATTAATTTTTTTTCAAAGAATTGAGAAAATCCCTAAATATGGCCTTGTAAAAAACCGACGAATGTACACGAATGAATAGTATTTAAACGAGATATCATGAATGGCGTAATATGAACATATTATCCAAATAAATCTCCTTCTGTTCCTGGTTGCTTTCACGTTTAAGAGACATTTTTAATTATTTCACAATGCTTCACTAAATTTGTCACAATGTTATTATTGAATGGGTACAAAGTTTAATTTAATGTTTATTGCGAGATTAGCTATCTAAAAATGTATGCCAATGCTTTCCTCGAAAGTTTAGAATATTAAACAGCAATCGATGATTAATAATCTTATGGTGACAAGTGAGAAGATATTAAACTGATTAATGTAGGAAAGTGAAACGACGCAATTTTTATATTGAATACCGACAAAATTATGTTCTGAAATGTCATAACGAGTTACAAGCGGAAATTCACATACTGACTTAATTTCATGATTTAGGATTGTTAGAGCTGTGTACCATAAGTTGGAGGTCATTGAAATTGGAATACGAAACTCAATGGCCATTGACCTTAAGTCCGTCGATTTGAAGGTACACGATTAAATTCATGATTCAGATATCATTATAATTAAATCAAGAAATCTTAAATTGATTATTATAGGAGTCTATAATTGAGTCTGTTGCTGATTACTCACCACTAATGTGTTGTTAACATCCGTAATTTAGAGTATGTGGCAATCGAATCTCATGGCTTGTAATTAGGAAATTATAGTTGTCGAAAATCATAGTGTAGCTGTTGTTAATTCGACTGAATTTCATAGAAACTGAGTCAGCGTTGCCTCATCATTACAACTCAAACCATATATGCTCAACATGTAGAATGTCATCAGCACTTAATTAAAAATCACCATTTCATGTTTCCTTATTGAGAAATAGAGGTAATTTCCAGGATTTTATAAAAAATCGTTCAAGTGGAATTTTCTGAATTCGTTACCGCACTGCCTTCATTTTCTCTGCGACCATCTCTCAAAGGTTTCACCAGCTTTATTTTTAAAAAATATTCAAATTAAGTTTTTGCAGTGAAACGTGTCATATAAATACTAAGAATAGATTCCATAGGAGACTGGTCATTTTACTTTTTTGATAAATATCAGAGTTCTTTTCAACTTTACCATCATTTTTTTTCTTGAAGAAGAAGAATGTCTACGATGCGAAGTATTTATTTCTCTATTAAATATTTATAACACCATTTCCATAGGAATCCATCACTTACCTTAGAGATAATGAAGTATCTAATAAAAATAAAAATACTATCTGACGAGATTTCCAACGTCTTCAGTACGGTAACGAAGGTGTTAAGCCTGGTTTACAATCTTCAATAGATTATCATTCAAACTGCAACAGTTTCGTAATTCGTTCTGCACATTATGCAAAAGTTTTCTCGGTTATGAGTGACACAATTCAATCAAGCCTATCTGAGAAAGAATCTTTACTACTGGCAGCATTTCCACGAACTCTTTTAATTACGACGTTGAACGACGTTGCTGAAGGATGATGGTAAAATCAGCGAGCATGCTATAATCCTGTTTCTACGAGCGTTTCTGTTTAATTGGGCAACCTCGTCGCGATTAAGAGAGAATGCATCTGCGGTGATCCGTATGTGCAGGTGCAGGGGTCATCCGCAACTCTTCGGGTCGTTCAGACTTTTACTTTGCTTCGAGTCAACCGCAATCGACTATAATCGCAGGTTTAACCATCGGCGTAACATGTTTTGCTGGTCGTCCTCTTCCTGTTCCTAAAACAAACATGAAATTAATATTAGAAAAATACGACTATCCTGTCAACTTTAACCTAGACAAACATCTTTTTCAATTCTCAAGAATTGCTTCTTACTTTCGATTGCAATATTTTCAAAATGTGATTCATACTTAGATATTTGATTGATTAACAATTTCGAATACTTTCGTTAATGATTGCATATAAAAATCGGTTAACATTTTTACAAGAAATTAATATTTAAGTTGTAGGTGAATGTACGTTTCTGGAGCCTGATTTATCTGTTCTTCCAGGAATGGAACTTCTTAAAACGACGATTAAAAACGCAACTTTTAAAGGTGTCGGACTTTTAGGATTCTATCCCAAATGTCAAAGTTTTATTTAAATTAAACATGGATTGAGTACGAGGCGAGAGTGGAAAATAAACGTAGGAATCTAACGAGCTGTAGCGAATTTATGTGTTTTGTGTACGAAACTTCGACCTGTGTTTTTCGAATAAAATGTAAAGAAAGCGTTGCACAATATTACTTTTAGCCGTGTTGAGATAAGACAGGTCGTAGTATATATTATATAAATATTGTGAAATCATCTGCGATCATTTACGACACTTCAGGTTTACCTTGATTATACTAAACAGATTTACTAATGATACACCAAATTGCTGTAATTAAAATTCCAAGGTCGTTGATGAAAAAAATACATCGGTGAATTTTTTATTTCTACTGGACCCGCGTCGCGTTTTTGTGTAAATCTCTCAAGAATAAATCCTGAAAAAATTCCCAATTATTGGCTTCCTTTGATTGAATTTATGATATATTAATTTTGAACAAAACTCTACTTAAAGTCGTGGATTAAAATTTGTTTCTCTTCTTTATTTTCATTTTCATTGTTTCATATAAACGAAGACTAACAATGGTCAATGGTACTAAGTTTCGAATCACGAAGAGGATTAAAAGAAATAAAGAATTTTGAAAGAATTATCACCTACTCGCACAGTTCTTCATCTCCATTCATAACTCAGACGCGTTGTAAATCATGTTACAAGCATTATAATATTAGAGAAAGGAAGAACGTTTGTAAATCAGCCTGACATAACGTGAAGAAACGAAAGTTAGATCGGAGATGAAATTTAATTTTCTCAAAATCGTGGCCTTCGTTATATCATTCGATGGGGATACAAAAAAATCGAGCGAACAAGTTGTGTTACCAGAACGAAACTTGTTCTATGAACATCGTCTTCGTTATTGAAAACGATGATAATCAATGCAAGGAAAAGATCGAAGGTCGAACGAACGTCGTTGTGATTACGACCTTTTCTACGGTCGTCGTAGCCCCTTCATTCAGCGGAAAACTAAATACTAAGAGAAAGGTTAAGCACATGGAAATAGGAACTTCATTCATACGTGGAAATAAGGATTTGGTCTAGTTATTAATGAACAAAAGGATAATTATAATTTTGGAACCCTACTGCAGCACTTTTAATTGGTTAAAGAATCATAAGGCAATTATTTTATTCATTTTTGTAGACGAATAAATATTTGCTTAATTAAAGAAAACAGGATTCAAAATTAGATTGGAATATACGAGTAATAAATCCCCGTATAATTGTTTAATGATAAATCTACTATTATCGCAACACCATTCATTGCATTTTTTAAAACTATAATTGTTTCGTATCAAAGATAGACATCGATCTATTGTTTGTCAATGCTGCTGCAACTATAAAGATCCTCTCTCCAATCTGAAAAGGATCGTCATAACAGAGCAATTTCAGTACACGTTGGTTCAAACCCGATTTGCACTACTTACGACCCGTCCCTATCACTTAGCGTTCCGACAGTTTATTTCCATAATCGTGGGAACACGATCGTCAATACATTGCAACAACAACGAAGAAATGTAGTTAATAATCATGAAAATGTTTGCCGTAGAATCGATCGTGTTAGTAATTTAACGTAAAGTTCAGACTACGCTTTTTAAATCTTTAAATGTTTCACTGCTTATTTAAATATTTCTCCATTATTAATGCAATAAAATTTTTAATTGTAATCTAAAATAAAAAGTTAAAATAAGGTTCTATAATTCTATCCTTAATGAAGTGTTAGATCTGTAATAATGACTAAGAGTATTATTGAATACAAGTGTAAAAAGGTCGAAATCATGTTTCGCACGACCTTCGACCTACAGTCTCGTATTAGATCGATTATTCAAGTGCGATTAATACATCTCACTTCTCTTATATTCCCAGATTCGTTCAAGGTTTCATTGAAAAGAATCCTTCACGTACAATAATCAAGTAACAAAGAGATGGATGTTGAAGTAGCGATTGCTCAAGATATGGTCAAATTCAACTACCACTTCCAATTAACAATAATAATCTGTTTCTCATCTTTGCATCATTCGCCTTAAATGTTCCGAACATTTCGAAAGTGAATAGTGTAAATGAGACTGATTAACGTTCGTTAATCAAACAGGTGCACAGTGAATTGAAGCTAATAGATACGCACTGCCTACCAAAAGTATGGGACCACTTTTCAATTAGATACTTATCTTTATAATTGTTACTGAGCTGAGTTAATAATTGGCAAGCAAAGCTTGAAGGCGTTACGAATGATTGCGTCAATAATTATTTTTTTATGATACTAAATAGAACAATTAGGAAGAAAATGAAATTATTTCCGGATATCGTTGATTGATAGAATAATTATCCAATTAGTCGATGCCAGATTGCTACCCGTTTTGTTATTTCACCAGTGAACGTCTTTGTTACGGTAACACACAATGATGGCATCAATGAACGATGTAGGTGCAAATATGTGAGCAGTGAACTCACGTTTCCGATAATTACGACCGATCGAGCATCATTGTGCCTAAGGTTCTTCACCCCGTATGAGAATCTTCGCGAATCTCGATGACGTTGACGTTAGCGATACCTTGCATAATGAAGAATACTTTCTGATTAATTTTTTTGATTATATTACATCTAAAATTTTGTGAAAAAATATTCTTTCCCTAAATTCCGAAAATTTTGAATGACTTCCTGAGTCATAGACTTCCTGAACTTTAAATAACTGCCATCAATGTACTCTAAACATTCATTATCCATAGAATTCCTCCATTTTTCTCACGATACATCACTCATCACAGTGTAAAGCATTTTGCAACCTCGTTAAAAGTTTTCACCTTCGCCACCAAGCTAATACTACAGTTATTTATGGTCATTTCAACTTCGCCACGAATTAGCCTGTTGCAAGAAAGGGATGAAGCAAGGCACAGGTCATCTCATCAATTTATGACCGAGTAATTACGTCGCCTCCCTTCGTGTAATAGCAAAACATTTCATCCTATTCGTGTACAACTTAATTATGCCCAATTATCTACATCATCAACTAAATGAGAAACAGCAATATATAATTGGGTGGGAAACGACTTTGAGGAAAATGAAGGAGACACGAGAGTGGGAGCTATGCCTCTTCGTTATCCAATGATGATTTAATTACGATGTGTAATGCAGCATCTAAGTGGTGGTTTAATGCGATTATGGAATATTACGTGTATACTTTCTACTTCCATTAAACGAGGTTTTCCGGCACTTTTAAGAGATTTTTATGAGAATCCCAAAAATCAAACGAAGTTAAATTGCTATTATTCTGAATTTTAAATGCAGCGAAAGGGTTAAGGACGACAGTGTCCCAAGCTGTCACTTAAAACGTCCGCAGGTGTCTTCGAACGCGAAGTTGGACCTTTTCAAACCTCCTACATCGTCTCGTCCTTCTCGCGAGCCATCCACTCTCACTTTCTCCTTCTCTGTCTCTTTTTCTCTCCTTTCCTCCCTCTGTTATTTCATTTCCCCTTGTTGCTCCCCCCCGTTCTTATCTCTCTCACTTTTTCCTCGTCTGGTCTCGAAGAGTTACAGCATCCTCTCGTGGACGTCGGTTCGCAATAATCGTATGGACCGAACGTTGCTTTTGCCCCCACCATAGAATCGGGTGAATCCTATAAATGCTCTCCACCTTCCTCGAGACGAAGAAGTCACCTCTCCCGGGACACCAAGCACCCGCGAGACATGCGTTCGTCTTGAGTGTGTCCTGTTACGCACGGTGACCAGTTTTCGGATCGAAAACCGGGAAACTAGATCGCGATACGAAAGATGGTAAGTAAAGTGCGACCGAAGGATCAAGTGTGACACCACGTGTGAACGGAGATACGGATACAGGGGGTTGGGGGGAGGGGTTGATTGGGGGTGAATCAACGACGAGCGACGTAACCAGGGTACCGTGAAGACGGTAGATTTTTATAAAATAGTGTTGATCGTTCAGTTTGATCCCGGAATATAATTCTATGTAGGAGGATCTGTGGTGAAAGTGATTTCTTATCTTCTGGAGGATTGTTGGTGCGAATCTCGGGATTCAAAGGGTGTTCTCGACGATACAGCTTCAATATTCCTTGTGATTCTACGATCAAGATTACTTCGTGACCATTTTTTCCTCCAAATTTTTAGCAGATCGTATGTACTCTTCGTATTGACGAGTTATCGTAGAAAGTTTGTCAAACGAGGAGGTTTCTCTTCGACCATAGTAGTTCTTAGAAGCTGAAGAACATGATATCGATCTTCTTCGTGTATTATATTGATTTAGAATTTTTGTAGATGATTAGTGTGGAAAATGGAAATAGAATTAGGAGTTCTTTAAAGATACGTGTGATTTTTGAGTTCCTGTGCCGCGGTTACGTTTGTCCCTGCAGAAGAACGTTTCCTCCGAGCTCGACGCTTGGTATTTACACGTACGAGCGTCTCTACAGTCTCGCAGAAATTAATAGCGAGATGCAAGCGTCAGCCAGCTGTTAGCGCGCGAAATATCAAAGGTTATCATTGTTCCTTAACCTGAAATCCGCCTTTCTGGAGCCTCCGTTTTCTGACCTTTGCTTTCCACCGTCCGATAACGTCACTTAGAGAGAAAAATGACCCTTTGAAAGAAGCGGGTTACGAATTGCGAGGGAAAATTCAATCGTAGGTAAAGAAGGTTCGAAGCGAAGTTCTCGAAATAGACGTGTTGTAATCACAGTACATTCTACTATAAAAGCATCGGTAAATTCTCCTGGAGAAAATGATTGCACTATAGCTGTTTGAATTTTGATAAATATTTTTGTAGATAAAAATGCGAAGTTTGCAAATTTAGCCCTAAATAATTTATCCATTAAATTTCGAAAATTTCTTTATCTCTCTGACGTGTTTATGAAAGTATTTGTATTTATAGCTTGTCAGAAATTTTAGCTGAGGCCGTCATAAAAATTTCTCCAAATAGCCAAAGGGTTAATATAGTCACGCGTTCATACATCAGAAGTTCTAAGCAGAAACACATAATTTGAGGTAAAAAAATATTATCAAACAAGTGTACGAAGCTTTCATTCGTTCGATGAATTTCATCCCTCAGGATACGATTACTGAAATTGATTTCGATGGTAATCTCTTGTTCATCGAGTGTTTGGTGAAAAGTACCTTCACGATCACGTAACATAGAAATTTTCGTCGGTGAAAGGTCAATCTGTCGTAATTGTTTCGTAAAAATCAGCAGCCATCGAAATATTCGATTCGTGCATCATTAGAAACCTCTGAACAAGCCGATGATGTAATGCCTCTTCTTCATCCTCCACACGAGACAAGACGAGTTAAGAATTTTTACGCACGAGCTCGTACGTGCGAAACAAAAGGGAAGCACTAATTATTCATATTTGTTGATAATTAACGAAAAATGATACCGGTCGCAAGTTTACTTTCCTTTTGCTTGCACGTGCGTACAAGCTTCTCACGATTAAAGTGACGCAATTCGATGTTACTACACTGTGGGAACTCAAGATCGCTGTTATGATACTTAATAGAAAAAAAAAGAAAGAAGAACAAAGATGTAGCACAGTTTTCCGATTTCATTGCTGTTGCACTTGTCTGATTCTCATAGACTTGTACAATTGCTCAACAATTTTGCATTCCATTCGAAATGTTAGACATCATATTTTCTTCGGAATTGATAAAAAAATATGATTGCAACAGAAGCAAAATCGAACCCTTCGAGACTTCGTCATGATCCGATGGATATTAATTAATTATCCCTGGGAATGACTAATTGAACCGATCAATTGAAATTCGTTCACTTAATGAAACACTGATTACTACCTGTACCATCTCTTTCTCTCGATGGTGTCAAGATGCAACTCGAGAGAATGTTGATCGATTCAATCGGGGTGAAAGATTACACACGCCTGTTCTTCGATTATATAATCACGAGTTTCCCAATTAAGACTACTTGTTAAAAGAAACCTCTGCTGCAACTGATCTTTTATCTTGAATTATGAATATTAAAAATATTTGAAATATGTTGAAACTAAAGAGTAATATTAACATTTGTTAGCTGGTATCAAGTACAGAATTCTATCAATATAGGAAAACAGATATAATATTATAAGTGTTGTCAGTCCTATCAAATGGTCATCAAGGTAATTAAAAAGAAATTCTCATTAGCGCGTTACAATCAGAAAGCAACAGTCGACAATAAAAGAACACATCTCTGTATAGAGAATCATGTCGAAAATGAAAAGACATAATCTTGCGAAAACTCGTTTAGAAAGTGGGCTGCAACATTACAATAAGCACAAAATTAATTGTACCTTCTCAGTGTAATCACCGCGGAAACGTTAATGGGCCAATAAAATAGGAAAATGCATGGCGAATCGGAATGCAGTTTTAAACTCACACGTCTCTTCGCAAATTCCTGTTAACATTCTCTTTCGACCGCGACTTTTACGGTTCATCCGTTCTTTCGAAAGAATTGTAGTCAAATCAGCGAAACGTGTTCAACAATCATGAATTTTACTATCACTTATCCAACTGATCCTTCTAAGATCTTTGCGCCATTATATGGAAGTAAAAACGATCTTGACGTCCGGCAGGGTAAACGTTACGAAATTCGTGTCTCACTTGAATCGTTTCGTCAATACTTCTTGTCGATCCTTGAACGATGAAATGATGAATTTAACCCCGCGAGTTGGATCGACTGGTAGTGTCAGAAAATGATGATTTAGAAAGCCGAGTGATTCTCTTTTATCTTTAGCCGTCGATTTTCCTCCTATTTTTATCGCCGGACCATCACGATCGCGTTTACAAAACGATTTATCGCCGACTAATCTGTCGAAGCTGACATTTATAAGCGATGACGAACAATGTTCGGCTACAAGCAACCGAGTGATCTTTCATAGGATTGACATTTTCTCTTGGAGGAACACACTGATTTTAATACACAGCTGATTTTTTTTTACTATTTCTTCTTCTAACCGCTTCTAATTCTCGTACCGTAATTACTGGATCGTTCGTTTTTGATCTGCATGTTAATTGTTTCGATTTCTTCTTCTCGACAATAAACATCGGAACGTTTTGCAACAGCCAGGTTTGTTAGTAATCTCAGGACGAGTACTTTTCTTCATTGTCTCGAATCGTTTCTTTCTCAACCTCGTTTCAAGCAACAAGAAGAATAATAACCCCAATCTAGTTTTCTTCTGCTATTCAAGTCACTTTTCTACAATCAGCATCGATTGTCCAATCATGTCGTAATTATCTTGCAATCCGGGAAAAAATTGCTCCTCTTTTTATTCAGAGCAAAATTCAATTTTACAAATCAAAAATCGTAGAAATATTGTACAAATCGAATAGTGAGTATGTCAGAATAATATTCGCCAATGTTGGAAGGAGAGAAAACGCGAGACGAAGGTCAATGATAGTTCATCATCGATGGGGCAATTGACATCGACAGCAAACAACTTTCAACTTCTTCTAGTGTTGTTGTTCTGGCTACTGTCCTTTTCTATCGTTTTATACCCGATGGTGTTTCTATGAGGTTTAGTGGCTTCGCGCACACAACCTGTATTACCTCTAATGCTGTAATACAGCCTTGATCAGAAGGATGCGTGTACGATGTTTGAATTCCGTACGTTCTTTCCTTCCAGCATCATCCAAGAGATTTCAATTAGACTCCTCGATGGTGGGTATCAATATTCTTAATTTTTACATTTTGTCTTGGAAGAAATTTATTACACTCAGGAAGCAATTTTGCGTTTTCCAAAAAAAAGTTAAAAGCAATACTAACGATGATTCAACAGTTATTAATACTTGATATATCGATAGCGATTTTGAAACAGCTTCGAACTTTAATTGCAAGGATCATCGAACACCTGTCTCACTCAATACTTATTATATCGCTAAAAAGTAACATTAATACGAAGCAGGTAATCTCAGATTATATCTTTGGAGAATCACCGCGTAATCAAATGTGGTATGACAGCTCGAAGATTTTGCAACACGAGCGCGAAACATGCAACAAAAGTATAAATCAGAATAACATCTCTTCTTGCACGTTTTATTATACCTGATTCAATGTATTCATTGCAATTAATTTATATTTAGCGAAGGTATCACATTTTAAGCAATTAACTTTTTCGTCGGTAATAAATTTCTTTATTCGAGTACCCAGAAGCTTTTACGTAACGAGTACCAATAATTTCGTGTCGATGACACAGCAATGGATTTAACTCTGCAAAGGATCGTCAAGGATCCTTTTCGATTAATTGAACACAAGATCGTTACGGCATTTCGATTGCGAAAGGATTGACCGTGGTTGGGTAAAATTGGTCAATAAATTTCAAGGGGATCCGTGCCCTTTAGTACGGATATGAAAGATACACGTCGGTTCCTTTTCTTCTCTCACTTGGCATCCCGACAACTTTTTTTCCTTATCGCTTCCAGACATCCCGGTCCAAGTTTTAACACAGTGTTACGTAATAGTTATGATATTCCTTCTTGCAACATTCAACCTTTCCCGAAAAAGGATCCACGACGAGCCCGCCTTACTAATTCGTAACCACCGGGATGAGACTCTTATTACGTCATAGAATTTTAATTAGAATAATGATTTCGAGAGTGGACCGTCGTTGATGTATAGCCGTCGAATACGTAACTCGATGATTTCGTCGAAGGAAATGAGGCTAGCATACGATCAATAGATTCACACTAGTATTTATGTAAATGAGTGTTCCTTCTGTGTTCTTCGGATGATACCTCGAACGAATATATTATTCTATCTAAGGACAGAGAACGTTTCACGTTCACTGCTCAAAGGAGAGAAACGAAGTAATCATCTCGTAGACTGCCTGTCCATGGAAATATTTAATGGGTTTCGAAATGAACAGAGGCACTTTGATATTTCAAACGAGATTCTGCGAAGATTTTTATCGAATTCTAAAAAGATAAGCATCTTGATGTTTTCCTAATATTCAGAATTCGGGACGTCATTCTAGGGTGAACTTTACATCGGTGAATACGTTAACGAAATGCGAAGATATTTCATAGTTTATGCAAATATTGCATTTTCACTCATTTCCTTTGGTCTACAGCACCTGTCGCGGAATGCTATTTGCATCCTCTTAAACATTGCCGCGGCACAAAGCAAAGGTTCAACAATTTTTGCTTCGTCCCGATAGAACAGAATCGATCATTGTTATGGTAATTAGTAAAGAGTCTTATTGTCGTCGAATGACAATGCTTCTCTTTTTTCGCTGCATTCCACCTCGGTTTCGAGATGGTTACGCGTTGTTACGTGGGTGAAGAGCACGAGATAATCGTTCTCCACGTTCACAACGTGGAAACTTTCTCCGGCAAGGTGCTTCTTTTCCCGCATCGCGATGTGTGACGGCAGCCTGTTTAATTCATCGACACGAACAACGAGAAATTCACATTGGTGCCTTCTAAAGACACGAGATAAACGGTCACGCGTTGATTCTATTTCATTTTCATTGAATTTCGCGGAAGTAAAACATCGCGATTGAAACAGATACTGAATAACACGAGACTGTTCCTGTAATTTGTTCCGTATTGAAAGTTTCTTTATTAACCGTTATATTTTTTTCTAAGGGATTATTTATTAAAATTCAAGAAGTATATTTTAACTTTAAAAGATTCCATGATCTTGCAAATTAAAAGTCCTGTTAACCCACTTGATCGTAAATCAAAGCCGTCATAGTAAGCTGTAATTTTCTGCTTTAATAATGCAAGTGACTCTAATACTCCTCATTCTTCTATTTGTCATACACGACATTCAATTAACATTCATTGGCACCGTGTAATCGCTCGACAACAGAAAGTTGTATAGAAATGTAAATAACGTGACCCAACTATGATGTTCAGTAGCAAAGAATTGCATATAACTTTTGCATATCTGACTTTCTTTTTTAAGAATCTTAAGTATTCTTAAATTTTTAGTACCCTTTTTCCATATATAATTCTTTTGGTCAATGGTGACCCCACGGCAGTTCAGCTGTTAATTACAAAGTAATATTACAAACAAAATCTTGTATGAAACCATGTGTCGAATTCCCTAGATGATAATCGCGGCTTAATTAAAATTAATTTGTATTCTCGCGTTCCACTTGCAAACATATCTTTCTCAGCCGGGTGAAAATGATTTTCCTTTTGCCAGTAGCGTAGTTTTCGTTTTTCAACACTCGAGTTGCGACAAACCTTCGTGTACTCGGCTACCTCGGCGTCTCTTTCTTCGTTTAATAAGCACGCACATTAGTGGCATCACGAGGCGGGATAATTAGAAAGCCGAAGACGTTACTCGCACTTTATTAGTACCAAACATGCAACTGCGTCTCTCCATTATGCAAGACATTATTTTTGCACCTGTCACTACTGACCTAACCGACCGACCGTTAAAACAGGCCTGTCAAAGCGATTAAAACTGATCCGAAAATAAATCAACCATCGGTAATTATGGCGAATGGAAATTTCATTACATATAAAGTGCTATAAAATGCTATTATTATAGTTATGGATATTTCCAAGATGGTAATAATAAAAAATGGACTGTGATTTTTTCAAATATAATCAAAGTATGAAAATTTGTTTCTTGCTACCAAGATTAGATTGAATGGGTTAATTAAAAAAATTTCGATCGGTCATCTTAGAAAAAAATTTATACCTCGTCATTTTCTTTTTTCGATAGTCAGCCACAGTTTCATCGCCTGTTCTCCTATTGCGACACAATTTTGCACCTCGGGCCTCGCGAATTGCTGACCCATTGAAAATTCTCATTACACGGTTTGCAACTTTCTCTAGGTGTAAATAAAGCGTCGATGAGCCTGCTAAGATATACATAATTGTTTGCACTATTCGCACGAATCCTTGGTAAAACTTTGTTCTATAAATCTCGAGATTTCTTCTTAAGTGTAATTACTTATTCGCGATGACGGAGTAATTGCTTAAGGCGCGTAACGTTAACGAGAATTTTCAGCTGAATAATAAGTATGATTTCATCAATTCAATTATGACTGCAACACTTAGCTTTCGGAATCTATTATCGGTACATTAGAGCGTGAAAAGATTAATGAGATCATTAGGAGATTAGAACATCGATACTGATACCATTCGTGAGATCATCCATTGTATTTCTTCGCTGGAACTGTCTGTCACGGGTGACATGGTAACCTTATGGTAGCGCCGATAGAACCAGTCTCAACTAAACGCTTCCTATCTATTGTCCTCTTCTTCAACGTGCTTTCTTCAATCACGGATACCTGAAAAAAAAACACATTGTTTTGTCAGTTAAATCACGAAGAGTAATTCTGTTCAGATAGATGGCTTTCGTTTTAAAAGTATGTATAAAAGGGTCTGGTTAAAACGATTTAGTGAACGACAGATAATTCATGTAGCTAATCTAAAAGGTTTTTGGAATTCTTCTTGAAGAGAAGGATTTATTAGTGCATGGTGTTTGAAGGTTCTAACGAAAGCGTGAGATCTCGAAATTTCTCAAGAAACTGTAACCTTGTGATCTGTATCGCGTGTTCCACGGACCCAAGCATCGTGACACCGCCTATATACATCAGTAGCCTTTCACATACTGGCGAAAGACACTGGAGGAGAATAACTTCTCTCCCCCGTAGCCGTACGATCCTCCTATATAAATTATACACCTAAAGGTCACTGGACGTTTCTTCGGGCCAGAACCATCATTCGTGGCGCGTTCACGATGTCGCAAACGGATAAGACGGTTTTCATTTTCTGGACAACGAGGCTTCCCCTTCAGCTTCGCTGATTTATGAAGCTCGTCCCGCCTGCGAAAGATAATTGCGCTCGATCGGTGGATTATTACGCTCCGTTTAGTACCGAGTGTCGAGAGGAACGTTGTTCGCTTAATAGAGAAATAGCTGCAACACGCAGCTTGTTTAGATAAACGCCATTCGATAATGTAAAATCTTCTGCTTCAGTGGGAACCTTCCGCGAGTAGGATGTTGATTTTACTAAATGCGGAGAGTAAATAAAGATGGTTTTATAGGAGGATCGATTGGTAACAGGAAGGAGATAAAAGTTATGAGAAACTATAATTATGGATCAATAATTATGCATTTAGGTAGTTGATATATCAATGAAAGTATAGTGTGTCGTGTTCATAGGAATGAACTTGCACGATTAGTGATTCATCATAGTAGGTGCATCGTGGTCGAGACAAGTTATGTAAGGTGTTGCCAGGAGAAGCGTGAGATAATCCCACGAAGGCGATCTTCAATTTATTGTAATCGATTATTCAACGATCCGTGACCTAATATATTTCGAATCAGCCGTACTCAACGAACGAGATCAGTATCTCGGTGTATATGGATAAAATTGACGGATGCGTTTTAATGAGTTCTATCTATAGCACAATGATTTATTTATGGATCAATATACATTAATTAGGGGATATATTTTATTTTCCAGCGAATCTTATGGATTGCCACAATAGTGGCAGTGCTCTCCACATACAATGCGTCAGCATCCAGTGAGAAGAGCAAAAGAGCGATAGAAACAAATGGAGGCTACATCTATGAACCGCCAAATAATATATTCACATTGCCAACGCGGTAAAAATTAATTAAATATGAAATTATAAGAATAATTCCTGTTTGTACACAATATTACTCATTGTTTGAAACGATTAGCAATAATAGTCTCCTAATATTGATATTCCTTAATAAAAATGGTATTTGTTAGAACACCGCCAAGGCCAACACAACCACCAGTTACTTCACGACCAGTAACTCCAGGATATCCATCACATGATAACCAATATACATTGCCAACTCAACGGCCAACATATACACCACCCAGAACAGAGGGTCCTGGAACAAGGCCTACGGGTTATACTTATCCAATACCACCACAGCCAACTAGGCCGCCGGGGCCTCCACCACGACCTAACACACCACCACCATATAGACCCCCGTCTCCACCTCAACCAACATCACCACCGTACAGACCATCGACTGGTTATGATTATCCTGCACCAGTGCAACCTCCAACATTAGCGCCCTATAGGCCACCGCCGTCGCCACCACGGCCTCCTTCACCCCCTCAACCACCAGCGCCACCAGCACCGTCCCCGACTCATCCACCACAAACCCCCAGACCTCCTTCTCCCCCAACATATAGACCTCCTGCTCCCCCAACATATGGACCTCCTTCTCCCCCAACATATGGACCTCCTTCTCCGCCAACATATAGACCTCCTGCTCCTCCAACATATGGACCTCCTTCTCCCCCAACATATGGACCTCCTTCTCCGCCCACATATAGACCTCCTGCTCCCCCAACATATGGACCTCCTTCTCCCCCAACATATAGACCTCAACCTCAACCACCACGACCTCCGCAACCAACAGCAGGTTACGATTATCCAGTACCTTCGAAGACGTTCCCACCTAGACCACCACAACCTCCGACTCCACCTCCTTATAGGCCTCCACCTCAACCACAACCACCAAAAACCCCAGCGCCACCGCCACCTTTCCCTACTCAACCACCACAGACACCGCGACCTCCTCAACCTCGACCACCAACCCCACCACCATATCTACCGCCATCTCCACCACAACCTCCAAGACCTCCATCTCCACCACCGTATGTTCCACCTTCACCTCCACATCCACCACAGACACCACGACCACCTCAACCTCGTCCTCCATCTCCGCCACCATACGTACCGCCGTCTCCTCCGCAAACTCCAAGACCTGTACCACCGTATAGGCCTCCTTCTCCACCTCAACCACCACAAACACCACGACCTCCTCAACCTCGTCCTCCATCTCCTCCACCATACGTACCGCCGTCTCCTCCGCAAACTCCAAGACCTCCATCCCCACCACCTTATGTTCCACCTTCACCCCCACAGCCACCACAAACTCCACGGCCTTATTCACCTCCAAATAGACCACCAACAACGGGATATACTTATCCGGCACCACCGCAGCCAACTAGGCCACCACCGCCTCAACCTAGACCTCCTACTCCTCCTCAACCACCACAAACACCACGACCTCCTCAACCTCGTCCTCCATCTCCACCTTCATACCTACCGCCGTCTCCTCCGCAAACTCCAAGACCTCCACCAACGTATGGGCCACCTTCCCCACCTCAACCACCACAAACACCACGACCTCCTCAACCTCGTCCTCCATCTCCGCCACCATACGTACCGCCGTCTCCTCCGCAAACTCCAAGACCTCCACCAACGTATGGGCCACCTTCCCCGCCTCAACCTCCTTACAGACCACCATCTCCTCCACAAACTCCACGACCTCCTTCACCACCGCGACCGCATACCCCGCCAGAGTACCTACCACCTGCTCCTCCTCAATCACCAAGAACACCAGCTCCAAGACCACCGTATGTACCGCCAACTCCTGGACCGCATCAACCTCCAACATTTCCACCGTACGGACCTCCGCAACCACCCCAACCGCCACGACCTCCGCAAACACCCTTCCCTCCCGGTCCTCCTACTAGACCACCTTACGTACAACCCCCACAACCACCGCAAACCCCAAGGCCTCCATCGCCACCGCAAACACAGCCACCTTTTGGACCACCAAGTCGACCGTATTTACCACCAACTCCTCCTACGAGACCACCATACGTACCGCCTCCACAGCCACCAAGACCACCGCAAACACCGTTCCCTCCAGGACCTCCTAGTAGACCACCATACGTTCCTCCTCCACAACCGCCGCAACCACCACGTCCTCCTTCTCCACCGCGGCCACCACAAACACCATTACCTCCAGGACCTCCCAGTAGACCACCATATGTACCTCCTCCACAGCCACCTCAGACTCCTCGACCATTCCCACCACAACCACCGAAAACTCCAGCACCTCCTGGACCCCCTAGCCGGCCGTATGTTCCACCGCAACCAACTCCTCCAATTCGGCCTCCGGTGACACCTTCTCCCCCAAGACCACCGACGCAACCTAACACTTATTTACCACCAGATCGTCCAGGACCTACACCGCCACCAAGACCTACCCCAGGTTACCCGACTCCTCCAAGACCTACCCCAGGTTATCCGACCCCTCCACCATTCTCTACTCCAAGACCCACCCCTGGTCATCCTACTCCACCACCCTTCTCAAGTCCAAGACCCACTCCTGGTCACCCTACTCCTCCACCTTTCTCCACTCCAAGGCCTACCCCCGGTTACCCAACTCCTCCACCATTCTCGAGTCCAAGACCTACCCCTGGTCATCCTACACCACCACCATACTCTACGCCAAGACCTACCCCTGGTTACCCTTCACCTCATACTCAACCCAACACGTACCTACCACCAGATAGTTCGAAAGCTACATTTCCCACGCGACCTACCCCTGGATACTCTACATTTCCTTCCCCTAATACCCAAGGGCCTACTGTAACTATTCCCCACGGTTCTACGCAAACCCCTTACCAGCCAACAGGTGGCGTACCTGCTACTCGACCTCCACCCTACCTACCTCCCTCTACTCCTTCTTCGCCACGTACCACGGTAACACCCCCACCACCACCCACCCCAATTTATACCCTTGTACCAACATCGACAATCTACACCCCACCACCAACCGGTAATCCCGCTCCTCCACCTACTTTGCCGCCAACTACCAACAGGCCTACCGGCTACTTCTACCCGGTGCCAGAGAATCCGTTTGAGTTACCGCCTTTCCTTCGATGAAAAGGAGAACAAGCGATCTAGATGAACTGACAGTCGTAAACTACTTCTCTTCTCCTTTCTTTTGTAATTTTTATATGTATAGTATAAGAGCTATTTATGTATTGCTATAATAGATGACGGTTCTGCTAAATCTTTGATAACGAAATTGGCGAAATGTGAAAGATAAAGTAACTGGATTCTTGTCAGCTACTAATATCTTGTGCGTGTAATTGCAACGATGGTAAATATCGTAGTAAATACAAAAGTATGTGTTCAGTGAGTAAAGATTGAATTAGAATCTTTCGACGAACTATTATTCTAAAATTGCCTTCTGATGAATAACTGAAAATTGGCAAACTGCAATGTATTGCATTTGTGGAACCTTTGTTAAGAAATTAGTAATACCGTGTTAAATGCTGTACAGTTTGTTATACAATGAAAAGGAAGCAAACACAGAAATGTAGTAAAATGTAAAAATAATTCTACTTCTTTTGTATATGTATCACACGAATACAATAGAATAAATAAAATTTGTATAAAAAAACACAATGCGTTACTGTATCTTTTCTAAAAGTTACCTATGTAGTATCTACGATCTTTCCTTTTAACACTCAACAAAGAAATCTTCATCAAGTGACCGTGAACGAAAGCGACCACGCAAACACCTGATTTGCCAGAGGGTTTCAAGCGTCACCTTTCCGCCCACGACATCCTCTTCTCTCATGAATATTAACGATTATGAAATACACTTTTGTATAAAATAAGGATCCCGAATAACTCGTTGTTTCTGAACAAATAAAGCACATCACTAATATTTTATTTCGTAATCCATTCGAGAATTACAGATGATTAATGTTCCATCAACCCTGACGGTACGACAAATTGTAATTACGGTGATCCTTGTTCCGCGTGAAACAAGACAGGATACAGGAATAATAGTTTATTTATCGAGCCGGATACCGTGTCGTAACGACATTGACATTCCCATCTGATATCGTGCAATAATATTCGACTTGAGTGTTATGGCGTAGTAAGTAGCCCATAACCGGCCTCCTACTACCATAACGAGCCTCCCCCACGTACAAAGAAATTTTCTGCCTTCGTGATAGAATCCGAGCAGTGAAAACTCTGTAGCGAGAAACGAGTTCTCGTTAGTTGCATATAGAACTTCGAAAGAATACTGTCCCACGATCTTGCGACACGCCTCTAAAATAATTCGTTCATTCATCAAAGATCAATCGAAAATCATTGATTAATGATCCGGTTCCTGATCAACCTACTACTGTGACCGCGTGCATCAATCGATTCTATACGAACTGTTGAATACATATTACTGAAAATTTTCACGTGCATGGAAGAAGTTACATCAGCTTGCAAGTATTTATTTCAAGTGAGCTAAGGGTAAGCTGATTCAAGTTAAAATGCTTCGTGTTGTTAGTGAATAATTGTAAAGGGTACGACAGATATCACAAAAGGACATGCGTGAGGCAGGACGAAGGAGCGCAATCAGTACGTCTCAGCTTGGGCTTTATTCCGATCACAGTGATCGATATAATAGAAATCGATACAGCTCTGTCACAAGGAAATTTGCGATTGGAGTTATGGTAGTGGTCGTAGTGATACTTGTGAGTATTTAATTACATATTTAACAATTTGAAATTCAAATTAAATTCACACTTACTGTGTGATTATAAAATTACCAAAAATGTCAATGACAGTATAATTTCTTCCAAATTGTTCCATAATTCATTGAAAATAGTAACCTTGAATGTTTCCCTCCGAAAAAAGAGAAAATGTAAATTTCAGTCCCGCTTCGTAAAGGACGTTAACACTCGTGATTTGTGAAATCTTCGAGAGATTAACATTTTAACAAATCATCGGCAGCATTCTCGTTCGTTATGCTAATATTTACTCGCCACTTACCTACATATCGCGGTGCCTGCTTTAGCGAGGACTAGTTTCTGCTTTTACGCAACCTCGTTACGAATACCGCTCATCTGATAAAACATCGATTACTTTGCCTTCCTGTTCTGCATCCGCCAGGTTCAATGGCATAGCCTGCGTGATCGAGGATCGTTAACTACCGATCATTAACGATCTACTAAGCTGCGCATCATTCAAACGATATATCGTGGCAGTTAAACGTTAGAGGTCGATAAATTTTTAACGAGCATCGAAGTACGCGGATATTGTTACCGGTGTAATCAACGATCGTTTAAAATATGATTCTGCAGATTCGTTCGATTAAATAAGAAAATTCTCTAATTGATAGAAAGCTGATTTTCATCCTGTACCAATAAAGTTGGAAGATAATTCCAATTCAATTTTATCACAAAAACTGTTGAGTTATCCATGAAGGTAAGCTATCTTTGTCTAGGATCGTTATAATTACACAAAAAAAAAAGTATGCTGTTTAAGAAGAATGATGTTCGATTAAAAGTAAAGCTGTTATCGCGTTGTTCTTTAACGAGACTCCATTGTGGAGAACAATAGACGCAATTACATCTGACGCATTTTCTCCCATGATTAATGTAAGAAGTACGGTAGCCGCGTTAAAAGTCAGAATTTCACCGTGAATCTCCGTGTATCCCGTTCGCATGCATGGCGAGCCAAGCGTCAAAAGAGATTTCTGCCGTACTTCACATATAGGGCGTTAACTGTGTTTTGACACGAATTAACTCGCGGGGGAACAGGTTTCATTCGAGCTCGATTAATGTACGAAAATGGACAAGTGGTACACGTGTATATAAATGTTGCATCCACTCGAATTCCATCTGCATTTCACTTTTTATCATAAGAAACGTACACTTTCCAACGTTTCTTTTGTAAAGAGTAGCATTCTTCTGTAAGCAAGTAAAAGTACACCTATCGAAAGAACTAGGAATCTAATCAATGTTATTTCTTTCTATCGTAGACTCTACGAGAAAAAGAATGATTTATTTTGTAAATAATTGAAGGTATAAGCGGCAACTCTTGGAATACTGACCTAAACAGTTTTATTCCGTTCCATTTCAGGTTGCGATATTCTTATACGACTTCACATCCGCCACGTCGTTGAACAGCAAACTGAATCAGGAAACAAAGCACATCTACATCCTGCAGAATGCTCTGAAGAAACCTTTAAACATCACAAAAAAGTTCTCCATTTCCACCGTTTCGCCCGAAGTGAATAGCACCAACTCTATTCGCATCGAGAATCGCTCGGACAATGAAAATCCTGGGAATCCTTTCTTCTACGATGAGACGGACGAGTATAAAGTACCCGATGCCGAGATCAGATCTCAGAACTTGAATAATTTTAAATTGCGCAAGAGAGTGCTGAAATCCGTCGAAAACAAGGAGGAAGAAGCGGAGGGCAAACAGTTGTTCGACAATCATGCTCTCGTCTATCGCGTGAGGCAACGGTGAGACTCGATATTCATCGTATTAATTTCATGAATAATCGTTCAATCGATAAATCGTGAGACTTTCACTGCAACTGCGATCATTTTTTTTTCCTCCTGACATCCAGTTGACATAACAAAATACCGATATGATTTCTTGAATCATTTAAACTTTATTGCACGAATGATTCATGCGGCGTCCCATTTTGATGCTTCATAATAAAACTTGAAACTTTATGTCAGACAGATTCGATAATATGTTGTAAACGTTACGTGAACCTTTCGCAAAATTTACTTCCACTGTTGGACACTTCACGATATACATCAATTCGTTTCGTTAAAACTTTAAGAATGTTCCTTTAAAATGCATACCTGCATGCTAATATATTATCCAGGTAGACGTATAAATCACAGTGAATAAACGTTGTCACCCACTGTATGTAAATTTCGAACATCAGTCATGTTAAATCTTTCATTAATATTAATAACAGAAATTTGATGCCAGAATGTAAACCTTGGTTCTATTCAATTTTTGCAATATTTACCATGCAGTGGGCAACCTGTGCAAAAAATCAAATTCTTCGTCTGATTTACCTGAGGGTCCTCGATAATTGATCAAACAGGTACAAGCACCCAGATTCGAACGAAGACATGGAAAGTTCAGAAGAGAGCCGACCAGTTCCTTTCCATTGGGAATTGAAGACTCCTCAGCCAACCTCGTTCAAGCGACAAAGGTATCCTCAGCTGTCACAGTACAGGTATCCCCATGCCTCTAGGAACATTCAAGAGATCATTAAATATTTAACGAATGACGCTGACGTGCCGAATCGAGGCATCAAGTTCACCGGTGTCTACGTGAATCCGAAGAAGTACGACTTGGTTCCTGAACTTGGTGGGATGATGTCAAACAGCGACAGATCAGAAGAGGACGATGGTTCTTACTCGGTGAATGAAGATCCGTTTTATCAGTACAAACCCAAACATCCGGCTGACGTGAATCTGCTGGCCACGTCCAACTTCAGGTCTGTGAACAAACAATTCGCGTTGAATTAGTAAAAGAAATGAAAATAATTTTAATTTACAGGTTCTCGCCGACTGGACTTCACAGATACAATTACGACACGTATGGACGTCCAGTGAATTACAACAAAGCACCTTCACCCGATGCTCAATATGAAAATTCGGGTTCCTATTCGAACAGTTACTCGAAGAGGAGAAAGCCAAAGCCGTTTAGTGTCATGTTGGACATTTATCCAATTACAGACATCGTGGAACAAAATAAAAAAATCACAAGGCCGAGACAGGTGCCTGTAGAAGACTATGAATTAAGAAGACCGATTCAGTATAATAGAGGGCCGAAATTTTACGCTGCACCCCCTCAGTCTGTGACAGGGATGTCTACGCAAGCAATGACCGATGAAGAAGAGAGACAGCAAATGATATTCCATTTGAATTTATATCCCAGAAAGAAGAACAAGATGAGCAGGTAAGAGTGATAGATTACTGTCGTATTATTTAATAGGAAGCATAAATAACGCAGCATGCTTAAATAAAAAATCGCCCACCCACTCGTCTGTCTACCTTAACTTCGATTACGTAAGGGGAAAGATCGCCGCATATCGGTCGTGGATCGTGGAATCGTTACAATAGTGTTCGTGCCTTGGTTCGATGACTAGATTTATCCGCAAAATCGCTGAGAACGTTTGCAATGCCATAAGAAAACTTTCACCAAACGTGCGCTCAGGTAGTGTCGATTCCATAAAAAATCGAACGAGACTGCTCGATGGCTCGTTAAGGATGGCCACGTGAAATGTCACCGAGTGAATTTGAAACGTAAACCGCTTGATCCCCTCGAAAATCCCATCGTAAATTCGTCTGACTGTTTCGTTGAACGTATAATGATTTGCTTTTCGAGATATGATTTTTATTTTCAGGCATGATATAATTCATAGATCGGAATCAATGGAACCTGAAGAGCAACAACAATTCGTGAACAAAGTTTGGTCACCTTTGGAGACGATCGCCAAACACCTGGCTGTGGAGCGATCAAAATTCGTGGACAACGAGATGGAGGACAATTTAGCCTCCACTCGGTATCAAGAAACTACTCTTGATAATGAAAATGAAACGAAAAAGTTTGATCAAATGAACGATTCTTCGAGCCAAAATGATTCCATCCCATTTAATCATAAATCTATTATCGAAGAAGACTATGGGAGCACAGAGAAATACGAGTTTGAGGCCCAAAAAATCGTGGGCACCACTACAGAAAGCAAATGCGAGGACTGTAATACTACTATCAGTTTAGATGAGACGACTACTAATGAAACGAAAAGTGCTGAAGTTTCGAAAGATGTTGATACTATTGAAGGATTCAAACGATTCAGCGATAGCATCTCTAAAACCAATTAAAAATGTAAACTTTCTCTTCGATTGTAGATAAGGATATAACAAATGACGCGATGATGAATAAATCTATGACTGTTTGTTAATGAATATTAGCTTTTAATGATAAGTTAGTAGAGATTGCTTGGACTGGACAATCTCCTTGAGATTTCTTCGTGATTCCCAGTTCTACCAGATCAAATTATCTCTGAGCTCCACCTCGCCTTGACATTTCCGTCGAGGGCGTCCGAGAATCTTCCACCAGCTTGACTCGTGAAATCGTGAGATATTCGTCGATCAGGCTATTGCTTAATAGGCCACTAACTACTAAATTGGTACACGTTGATGTACACACCGAACAGCAAAGAATATTTAACTAAATGTAAAAATACAGTGCTGCATACGTTCACTTGTTAACTTTATCTTCATCATTTCACTGTGAATAAAAATTAGTAAATAAATTAGTAAATTAGTAAATTAAGTTAGTACCGAGTTATGGTAAAATGTAAATGTTTGCTTGGAATATCAGAATAAGGAATAAACGAGGTACCGAATTCTTTTTTTATAAACATAACTCAAATGTACAGATTTATTCTTAACTATTACGATATATTACAATAGAACACGCGAAGTTCCTACGACATGGTCGCGAACGTTGTGAGTAAGAATCGTGTACGATTTAAGAAATATACAATTCACGCGGGTTAGTTTCTCTTATCCTACAGAAAATATCGTCGTACTTTACATGTGTACCGGCGTTTGGCACGAATTATTCGATCTTACTTTATAGCACCATTCGTCGACTTCATTGCACAATTTTATCCAGTTTCAAAGTGCACATCAATTCAGCACACAAATTGTCTCATTAAAATTCACCAAATTCCATAGAATGATTTTTATGAAATCATTTTGATTTCAACAATCACTTCAATTCAAATTCCATCGCCTGATTCGAAGCTATCTAGCCTCAAAACGAATGAGTAAGTCGCAATTAAAAAATTAGTTGTACTGTATCTTTGATTGACGTTCATAATCCATTTCATTCAATATATACTGTTGTTTTAAACAGTTTCAGAAACTGTCGAATTTTTGTATTGGCACTCAAGACACGAACGAATTCAATTTCATATCACATTCAATGCAAGTGAAAAAGTCTTCAAATATAAGTGTCACATTGTTCGATTGGTAACAAATATCTCATTCTCTAAATTCAGATCTGAATGTAACATTTTACACTCCATTTAGGTCCTCGATCCAAGAGTACTGGGGTGGTACAACGTCGTATCCGCCCCCCATTCATAGGGACCCTCGTGAGGACCTAACGAAACCATGGTTCCTGGCCCTAACGTTGTATGCGACGTAGCACTGACCATTCCTGGACCGGAAGAGACATAACTCAAAGGAGGACGTGGTTGGTCACGCAATCGAGCGTGTTTCGCTTGCCGTTTGTATCTGGAAGAAACACAAGCTTCTCTATAATTCTTTTCAAAAAATGACATGTTCAAATAATTAAAAGAAATCTTAGACACTTACTTGGCATGCATGCAACACAAGGTGCAACTGGAAACCACCGTGGCAACACCCACGAGGGCTGCAATAGCCAGCACCCACATCTGAGTCATGGAGGCGTCAGCGCGAGCCACCACAGCTGCACAATGCTGCACCTTCTCCACGTGATAAGTCCTGTAAACCTTCTTCAACTCCTCGTTCTTCGGGTCTGTCAATAAAGCCTTCATCTCGTCCAAATCATACGCCTCCTTTCCCACCATTTGGAAGCAGGAACTAGTCGAAGAGAAGTCCAGGGAATTATCATCCTTGGAATAAAACTGTGTATCATAGACATTGACACTGATGGGCAGAGACAATGCCTGCTGCACAGCTTTCTCAAAATCTTCCAGCGTTTTTCTGACCTCCACTGGTGGCTTAGAGAACACGAACTTCAGCATGTCCCTGTCACGAAGCAGGAATATCCTCAAAGTGATATTCGTCTCTCTGCCAGGTGTTAGGGAATTGTTAGCCGAGACGACGATCTCCATGTAGCCATCAGCGTATCCTGACATAGAGCCACTGGTTCTCAATTCACCAGTTTGAGGATTCAAAGTCAGATGCGAGGGAATCTCTCGTTTGGACATGGATGGATCGACCAGGGATGTAAAGGAAGCTTTACCCATGCTGTAATTTATGGGCAGAGCATCAGAATCTGCGTCGAATGCCTCCAGTGTAATGAGACTAGTATCGATGGGTACGTTCAATCGTACTCCCAGAGTGATATTCTGTTTCTTGAACCTAGGCTTGTTGTCGTCTATGTCTAGAACTCTGATGAGGACTTGTCTTTCGGAAGGATCTTGTCGATTGTAGGGCTTTGGGACTACATCAGACTTCTTAGCAGAATAAGGGAAACACTTAACAGTCAGTAGATGACGATCAGCAGTCTCTCGATCTAAACGACCATTCGACTTAATCACTGCTGAGTTATTCTCCAGTCTTTCTACGACGAACAAACTAGCCTCGTTTCCATAGACGATCGCGTAATCAATCATTCCATTTTCGCCAATGTCCTCATCGATCGCGTCGACCACTCCCACCTTCGTTCCCACAGGCTCTTCCTCCACGATGGACAGTTCTATCGGTGGGCTGTCTAAGTTTCTTTTGAAATGAGGCTTGTGATCATCGATGTCGTTCACTACTACTTGAAGCACCCTGGTCGCTTGCTGAGGAGGACTACCTAGATCCTGAGCTACCAATATCAATGTGTAACTGTCTTTAGTCTCTCGATCGAGCAACTTCCTGGTGGTGATCAAACCAGTCTCACTGTTTATTCTGAACGCACTAGCGTCCTTACCGAAATCACCATCCTCCAGGAACTTGAAGGTGATTTTTCCATTTGGTAAGTTAGGATCATCTGGATCAGAGGCGACCACTTGGAACACTGGGCTACCAATTGTTGAGTTCTCAGCTATATGAGCTACTTCTTCAAGGGTGGGTCTGATGAACAAGGGAACACCATCGTTGCTCACTACATCGCCTATGTAAAGTGTTAATATCACGTCAGAATAGAGTTCTGGTTCTCCACCATCTTGAGCTCTGATTCTCATCATGTATGGTTCAGTTCTTCCTTTGCCTGTTAATGCTTTGGCAGAATAAATCTCCCCGGTTGTATGATTTATTTTAAACAATCCTTGAAATTGAAATTAATAAAATTGTAAAATAAAATATTCGAAACTTCAATTATTATTAATAGTGTAATGTGTCTGCTCACCATTTGCTTCACCTTCGTCTATGATTTCATAACTAATTACTCCACCCTTGCCCTCGTCTGGGTCAGTAGCGGTGATGTTCACCACACTGACACCTGCTGCAGCGTTTTCAGGTATTACTGCAGTGTATAATTCTTGATCGAAGGTTGGAGCATTGTCGTTGACATCTAAAACGTCCACTGTCACCAAAGCTCTGGTGCTCCTTTGCTCTGCACCACCCTGAGGCATGTCCGAGGCAAGGACATAGAAACGGAGAACCGATTGTCTTTCTCTATCAAGCGTTGTATTGGCAGCTATCTGTTTGAATAATAATTTCAAAATGTAGATTGCAAAGAGTTCAATTTATTTTGCTATGAAGAATTACTTACTTGAATGTTTCCACTTATCGGATCCACCTCGAACATATTCGCGTTCTCTCCAATTAAGGAGTATCTCACTTCACCGTACCCTCGCCTAACTTCCTGCTCCGTATTGGAACTGTCCACGTCTGTCGCTTTAACATTTAACACAATCTTCGATGATTGTGCCGATTCCAGGACGGAAATTTTGTAATCACTTTGAGTAAAGATGGGACTATTGTCGTTCGTATCTTGAACCTCGACGATCACGTTCGCCTCGGACATTTTTCTTGTTATTTCATAGTCCCTTGCCAGAGCTCTTACTTTGAATCTAATGAACTGCAAACGACAAAAATTCCTAATATTCCAGACACTTGAACCCGTTTTACAATTTGCAAGAATCGATAATTAATTGAAGGATTTTCAAAAATTTTCCAAAGAAGAATACCTTTTGATTAAGAGCTTCATAGTCCAACCTCCTGCTCAGAACAACGTTTCCACTTTGAACACCAACATTAACGTATCCTTCGTCATCATCTTCTCGAACCAGCTCGAATCTCTGGACAGCATAACCAGTGGTAGGTTCCTTAGCTGACAACATAAGCAAAGTAGTTCCAAGGGGTTGTTCCTCTGGGACAGAGATCCTGATGGTCGGATTGTTCGGTGACCATCCAGGATTCGTGAAGGCTGGATTGTCATCACTGTATGCCTGAATGTAAATTGTCACCTCCACCCTCGTAACTTGCTTCTCTTTATCAACGACAGCATTTAAATCCTCCACTTGAACCGTGAGTATGATCACTGCAGCCACTTGATAATCCAGCATACGGTTCACTGTTATGAGTCCTGTCGTTGAATTTATTCGAAACGCTGTTTTATAATCGTATGATGCGGTGTTCTTCAGGGCGACGCCTGTTTTGTCCATTGCTCTTATAGGTTCCACTAAAGAATACTCTAAATAAGCATCTGAATCTGGATCTGTTGCTGCTACTTTTAGAACTGGTTCGCCTAAATTGATAATAAATTATTAGATTTAATTTCTTTGATTAATTGAATGGTTTAGAAAATTTGGTGAATGTACCTATAGCTGCTCTTTCTGATACGTAAACGAGGTACGTTGATTCGTTGAACATTGGTGGCTTATTGTTCACGTCTATCATGTTCACTGTAACGGTTGTTGTAGCAGTTTCTCTAACGGGTGTTCCAGAATCAATAGCATAAACTATCACTTCGTATTTGTCGCCACCTGTTTCGAGATCTAGACGAGCATCCGGGGAAACTGTGATGACACCAGAACTGAAGAGATGATAATTATATTTTTAAACATGAATATTTAATTCATTGAAAAATAATATTTATGAATTCATTCTGGTAGAAGAATTACCTAGGGTCTATGACAAAGTTATCCTTAGCACCAGAAGCAATATGGTATTGCAGTAAGTTATCCCTTCCATCAGGGTCATTCGCTACGACTCTGATGACTTCCGTTCCAGACGAAGCATTCTCCAACAATCTTGCTCGATAAGCGCTGGGACCGGGCAAATTAGATTTGTAATTACCACGGAAGATGGGCTTCTGGTTTCCAGGTACTCCTACTCTGACTGATAGTTTCGCTTCGGAATATAATGGAGGTTTTCCAGCGTCCGTAGCTCGAACTACCAGCTCGTAAATTCCTCTCTCAGTATCGTCTGAGCGTACTGGTTTTGCTATTGTCACTTCTCCAGTGTCTGGGTTCATCTTCGAAAGATGTTGATATTATAATCTCTACTATACTTTGGATAGAAATAAATTTTCATACCTACCTTGAAGACATCATTCGTCATGCTGTTATGCGAACTTA